CCTGCCGCAAACGTTCGATGCGTGTCCATATCTCTGGCATGGGCATGCCAGAGCGCAGCACCAGCTCCTCGTATTCAACCAGTGGCGTCTCCTTCGCCGCGCACGCCTCAAAGCATTCGAAATTCAGATGGTGAAAATTCAGTTCAAGCGCCAGTTTCAGCAGCGAAAACATGTGGCCATAATTCGCTGATTGGCGCAGAAAGAGGACGCAGTTGTGAAAGAGCTTCAGCATCAGTTCATCCGTGTGCTGGCGCTTATCCTTGGGTCCCAGATGCATGCGACGCATGCACTGCTCATATATGTGCAGCACATCCGGCACATTGCAGCGCGCCATGGTGCCCTGGGTGGTCATTATTAGGGCCGTCCACAGGGTATACTCGTATGGTGTGCGCTCCAGCAGCTGTTCGATCTTGGTGGCCACCTGGGAAGGCAGTAAATTGAGTCAATCAATCAGTCAATTACATATTTACTCAGTCAATCAGTCAAGTGTTATCAATCAGTTGATCAGTCGGCCAATCAGTTAGTTTGTCAGCTAATCAATCAATTAGTTGTTTAATTCATCAATTAGTCTGTCGATCAATCAATCAGTCAGCTTATCAGTTAAACAAACTGTTATCAATCAGTTAATCAGTCGGCCAATCAGTTAGTTTGTCAGCTAATCAATCAATTAGTTGTTTAATTCATCAATTAGTCTATCGATCAATCAATCAGTCAACTTATCAGTTAATCAATCTGTCTGTCGGTTTTATAATCAGCGTGTCAGTTATTCAATGAACTTAATAGTCAGTGTTCAATCAATCAGACCGGCAGGCAAATAAAGTCGGTCAATCAGTTAGTCAGTCAAATAATTTATCATTCATCAGTCAGTCAATCAATTAGTCAGGCACTTATTGGTAGATCAAGCATTTAGTCAATTAGTCTATCAGTCAATCGGTTAATCAATCTGTCAATCAATCAATATTTTTATGCTATATATATGGCTATGGAAATCAGTCTCTCATCTCATCACCGACCTGACTATCTGGATACGTGGAACTCGCTGTGTCCACATACAGCTGCAGCAGCTGCTCATTGCCGGGATGATGCTCGAGCGCTGTTTCCAGCCTGTGCAACTGCTGCTCGGCGACGGCCAGGCGATTGCTTTTGGACACATTCTGTCCGAGCAGCTGATGCAGCTCAATCCAATTGCTCAAATATTGCGGATGATTGGCCACCATTGTATTGAGCTCTTGTATGCGCTGCATTTTTGCCGCCAACTCTGCCGTGGTCAGCTTTGGCTCAGCGCCGGGCTGGAGGCTCTTGCTCAGACGTTTACGCTTTTTCACTTTGCGCTGAATTGGCCGCTGGCGACTTGGGTCTGTCAAGCGGCGCATCCTGATCATGTACTTTGGCCGCGACAGTGGCGGCAGCGTGTCCCATTTATCGTGTCGCTTATTGCATGACTTGTCCACATAGAATTCGACAGAGGCATTAAATTCCAGCGGGCGCTGTGTAATGGCATTATTCGGCTTGGGGGTAGGAGAGGAGCATCGGCTCGAATCGGCGCCAGAATGGGATCCGGCATCGGAATCGGATTTGTCGGAGTCGGAGCCACTAGTCGAGTCCAGATTATCCGCAGCTTTCGCTGGCAGCTCGTAGCTGCAATTGGTCTGCCATTTAATTATATCAACATTGACAGAATCTGTAAAAAGTGCCAGTAGAATAAACATAATTCACAATAAATAGCACAAATCACATTACCAGCTGTTTCCGATTGCTGCACTGCAGCATTCACGACATTTGGATTCAACTTTTGCTCACCATCGCCGTATGCCGGAAAAAGCGACATATTGACTACAGGAAAACACTTTAAGTCGTTGACGTTGGAATCCTTTAAGACAATTTAGATAAACAGTTTGTGTTAATCTCAAAGGAATAAAACATCAGGTTCGAATACGTTTTGAAAGAGTATCGATAGGCAATTATGAGAGTGACTGTCACTATGCAAGGCAGTATTGAAATATCGATAGCTATCGAATGTTCAAGGCATACATTGTATCACATTGTATCTTTGGTTAGTGATTGTATTTATTCGTACCACTGCAAAACCATAATAATACGGGTCATCAGCATTTATTATAACAATTATATATATTAATTATTCAATAATTGAAATCTGCATTCGCAGTTTATTAGAACACTAGATTTAAAATTCCTGAAAGAATTTTTCAAAATATTTACTCAATTATTTTTTGTTATTAACGCTTTATATATTTGCCCAAAGAAATTAATAAGCAAATAGCAAATAAAATAAACTATTTATTGGTAAATGCAGCTTGCAGATATCAGAAGCTTAAGCTAATTAAAAAGCTAATCAACGAATGAGCGACCTATTAAGAGAGTATTTGTATATATGGATATTGCTAAATATTCGATTGCAAAAAACGAAACATCGAAAAAAAAATTGCATAACAAAGTGTTCATATATCGATTATTTTCAATATATTGCACATCGCTACAGCGTGTGGCAGCGCCGGTGTTTTGTCAAATTCGCTTACTGCTCGTGCCGATATACGGCCACATTTAACCAGCTGCGGCCATTAAAGCAAATTTCGCAAAATGTTCAAAAAGTATGTATAAAGCAAGCAGCCGCTTTTTTGGCAACTAACATTTGTGGATATATAGATTCGAGGAAAAGGACAGCGTCTCATCGATACAACAGCTTAAATCGTCCGTACAGAAAGGCATACGAGCCCAACTATTGAAGGCATATCCAAAGCTGGAAACGCACATTGATCTAATACTGCCCAAGAAGGACTCATATCGCATTGCAAAATGGTAAGTTATGACTCAGACAGATCAATTCAAGCACTAAGATTCAATTGATTATGCCCTAGCCACGACCACATCGAGCTACTGCTAAATGGTGGCGGCGAGCAGGTATTCTTTAGGCACCGGGATGGCCCATGGATGCCCACGTTGCGTTTGCTGCATAAATTCCCATACTTTGTGATCATGCAGCAGGTGGATAAGGGTGCCATACGATTTGTGTTAAGTGGCGCCAATGTCATGTGTCCCGGCCTAACGTCACCGGGCGCCTGCATGACGCCAGCGGAGAAGGGCACAGTGGTTGCCATTATGGCCGAAGGCAAAGAGCATGCGCTGGCCATTGGCCTGCTGACGCTTTCCACAGAAGATATGTAAGTGTGTGCATATGGTAATCCATTGGCATTCGGCAGCTGCTTTAATCGACATATATCCTTTTTCTGTTTTACACAAATGCAGTTTAAAAGTCAACAAAGGCATCGGCATTGAGACGTATCATTTTCTCAACGACGGCCTCTGGAAATCGAAACCCGTTAAGTAGACAGCACAGCACAGCACAGCACGCCGGGCATGGCTAGTATCGGAGCTGCAGCCGCGTTCGCCATGCACTCGTTCTACTTAGTCTTCGAGAGCAAAAGAATGGTTTTTTTATTTTTTGCATATGCAAAGTCGATTGTATTTAAATAATTTTTGTAATTTAAAAACGTCAGTTAAACTATTTTAAATCAATTCGAAATACATACAATTAAATAATTGCACTTAAAAGCCAAAATGCGTGCGCACTCGACATTTGTTGCATGTTGCAACGCAACCACCTGTGGCAAGTGCCACGACGTGCAGCTAATCAGGGCTGCAGCGAGGGCGGAGTTAATGCACCGTTTTCCAAGCTATCCGATTTTTAACATAATTACCTTATTTCCTGCCGATTTTCGTATTAGCGTTCTGACTTATTCTGTGTGCACAGGATGCGTTCAATTTAACATGTGAATATCGATTTTTCAATTAATTGGCCAGCACAAACAAATCAGCTGTTGAAAGTACAACGTTTGACATTGCAAACATACTGCGCTGCTCCTGCTGAAACAAGAAAACGTGACGTCACAATTCCTGCTGCTATGCTGGGACAAAGCTAAAAGAATATGTATATACATATGCTCAAGCGCCCCGTACATGTATGTATGTTATACAAAACGATAGATTGTAAAATCAAATTGGCAGCTAGCTAAATAAAAAAATTGGCCACAGCACACAAGCATTGTGACGTAGGCACATAATTCTCACAGAGCATACATATATTTTTTTAATTAAACCTTATAGTTTGGGGCACGTGAGAGCGCGCGTTTAATGTTCAAGTCGCATGCGCAAGTAACGGTTCATCTGCAAGTGCGTGTGACGTACGTACGCCTAAATGTGTGCATGTATTGTACGTCAGCAGCAGCAGCAGCAACGTAAAAAGAAATTGTTTTCTGTTTCAGTTGCTGTCAGCATTTGTCGCATAGCACGCAGCCGACGACAATTGCAACGCATTTTGTAAGCAACACAAAAAAAAGATAAGCAAAAAAAAAAAGAACCAAAAAATACATGGGAAAAGCATTGAAAAACCACAAGTGGTAGACAAGAATTGAACAATAGCCGAATTGATAAAAGAAAAATATGAATAGCAGCAGCTTAGCAAGCTGTCGAAAGTGTGGGCAGGCGATTGTGATAGTGTGTGTGTGTGTGTGTGTAGCATATGGAATAAAAAAAAGGACATTCAAATTCAAATTTTCGAACGTTGCAGCAGTGCATGTACTCGTGTATGAGTGTGTATGCGTGTGTCCGTTGTATGCGCCATTTAATGTACGAAAAGTTTTTCAAGGAAAACGGATACACACTGTTCGAACTTTTTTGAAGGTGCAAAGTGCAAGAGCAAAGTTTCCACTTTTCCTTTCCTTTTTTTTTTTTTTTTTGTGTTTTGTTATCGTTCAAGTGGGCGTGTGACTCATGTTGAGATTTGCAAGTGGTCGCCAAGAGCAACGGTGAAAACGTCCGCAAAAACCTGCACGCCACACACATATGTACATGTGTGGGCCTGTCGGCAATAGTATAAACAATATGGCTACAATATGCCGCTAGAATGCATTTCGTAGCCGTTACATTTTATTGATTTTACTCCAATCTTATTAGCATATTTGTATTTTTTGAGCAGGCTCTCTGGTGTTAATTGAGTTGATGTTGATGACATGCAAAGGCGAATCGTTCGCGCCTGCCGTTCGCATTTACAACTGAGCAACAACAACAACGACAGCAGCAAAGGCAAAGAAGGCGCACAAAGGCAACAATAATAACAACAACTACAGCTATACAGTTACAACTAGAAACGCGAGCAACAGCGCCAAACGAAGTTAGCAGGCGACAGACCAAACGAGCAAGCGAGTGACGGAGAGAGAAAGAGAGAGAGGGAGAGAGCACGGGAATCAAGGAGTTGCATGTGTGTGTGTGTGCAATATGGAAGACCTTTTTCTGCTAATTATCAAGGAGTCAACGGGCACCAAGCACAACGCGTTGCGACAAACGGCGCAAATTGCTTACGGTAAATGCTTGCATACATGTGTACATCAATTTAATGTGTTTGTGCGTGTGTGTGTGCGCCATAACAACAACAACCACAACAATAAAAGGCAACGGCAATCAGCAACAACGCGAATTGAAAACATTCAAGAACGTAATTTCCCTTTTTAGCGTTGTTGCTTTTACCGTTCTTCTTCTGCTTTTGTTTTTTATTACTGTTGTTGTTGTCGTGTCCGCCCTTTTGCACATCCGCTGACATTTCCTTTGTTTTTATACCCTGTGCGCATTTGAAATTCTTAGAAAAGAGAGTATTTTGAATCTGTGCAAATGTATGAGCCAAAAAGTACAGTGGTCACTCGTCGAATAGGTCAACGAGATGTTCTGCTATGCGAAAACTGTAAAACTTATGAATATATTATGCAGTATTTGGAGTTTAATAAATTCTTAAGTACAATTCAATAAGATTTTTAAGAGCACTCAATATTTGAAAATTGAGAACTCAACAGCAGAAAACAATATTTTTTAATTATTTTAGATTTAATGTCCGTCTTTGAACTATATAAAATGCATTTAATTAGTTGAGAAAGTTGAGAAAGCAACGTGCTGAAATCAATACAAATGCAATTTGCTGCAATACGTACCTACCTGCATGCATACAGGGTATCATCTAGTCGGTCACAATCGATCAAAGCGCTCCCATTTGTTTTCTGCGCAAAGAATAGTTTTTGCTGTGCACTGCATTTGCTTTTGACCGCAACAGCAGGAAAGTAGGCAACAATTTGTGAGCATTTCTCCATTTCTCCATACGCAGCATTCGTGGCGAGGCTTAATTGTTAGCCTGGTCTTAACGGCTGCGTTTTATGTTTCGATTTCGCTGACCGCCAGTGTGGCCCTTAATGTATTTGCAGATAAACTTTATCGACAGCATGGCATACACAGGGATCCGTCGCACGAGCTGCGCTCCGTTTGCTTTACGGCCCTGCAAATGGCCTTGGACACGAAGCGGCCCAAGTTCATCACGATGGGCCTTAATGGCCTGCATGTAAGTAAAAGCAAAAAACAAAAGACAGAAGAAAACAGAAAAGCAAACATAATAATTGGATGAAAAGTAACAAAATGGCGGACGAGTCAATTATCGAACGGATTCTCAGGCAATTGTGCGCCCGTTTCCGCTCCGGAAACGGAAACGGAAATGCTCCGACTGACGACAGACACGAAATTGCGAAAATTGTGAAAGGGGTTAGCTAATTGCTTAGCCTTACCATGTCAAATCCAAGGGATCTAGGGATTCCATAATTTGTAGGCCAAGGATAACAACTGCGACTCACGCAATTTGTTCGCTTCGAGTTGCTTGAGAAAACAAAAAGTCTTTTACAATTGCACTTAAAGTAATCAAAAGAAAAACTAAGCTTAGAGATTTCAAGTCTAGGTTGTTGCTTGGAACGAAATGGGAAAGGAATAACCTCCAAAGATTATATTCTAGTATTGACAAGTAGTTTCTTAATCAGCTTGGCTTGGAATAAACTGGGATTGGAACAGCTTTGAAAATTCCAAGATGTGGCTTGGAATGAAACGGAAAAGAAACAAACCCTTTGTTGTTGATTCTTGTGAACGATTGCCAATAGCATACTTTAAGGAGCTTGGCAGGAATTCGGCAAATAGGAAATCAAATTAAATATCAATTGTAAATTGTAAAGCAAAGAGCATAAGAACGTGAAGCAAACATTTCCGTTTGTTTTAATAACTGTTTTTAAGATGACATATTGTTGTTTTGCAGCGCGTCATCAAGGACGAACGCTTCTACATTGGCCTGGAGCCGGAGGATGATTCCGTTTGGCTGCCATCGCAGCTGTTGCGCGCCACAAACGGCATTCTGCCGTCGACGAGCAGCGAGGATACCGTGGTGAATGTGCTGCGCCTGTTCCTGGCCATGGCTTGCTCGCCCGCATGCACACTGAACGGGCGGCTGCTCATCGAGATACTCTCGCGCTGCGGCGAATGCTGGGAGCTGGGCTCGAGGGCCATCAAGGCAGCCTCGTTGGCCGCCGCCTCGCAGTGTCTGCGCACCTTTTGCGCCTTTCTCATCGAGGAGGCCGAGGAGGTGAAGAAGACGGCGCCAGCTGGCTTGATGACACAGACCCAGGCGTCGGCCGTTTATAATGAGGTTATACCCGTGATGCAGTGGCTCTGCAGCCGCCTGGTCGAGCCCAATGTCAACAATGCATCGCCAAACAAGAAGTGCGAAAATCCCAGCTCGCTCTACCTAACCGAGTGCATCTTGACGCTCAGCTCGGCGCTGCCACGCAATGTGCACGCCAATCCGCACTTCACCTCGTTCCTCTGGCAAAAGTTCTGCCCGACTTTGGCCGCCGCACTCGGCTCGCCTGGTCGCATCAATTTGGACAAAAAGTTTACCTACAAGTGAGTTAACGAGTTGTCGAATTCCACCCGGAAAGGGTGTTGCAAAATAGGTGGACAATTTGTGTAGCTTATGTTTGAAAAAGCACAGTTTTCCTTCCCAGACTTAGACAATGTTTATATCTGTTTTCGACAGGGATGCTCTGCACATGATTGAGAACGAGGCGCGCGGCTTTTTCACAGGACCTGGCTTGGATGGGCCGCAGGCGCGCTGCGTCTACTTGACGGCCATCCAGCTGCTGCGGATTGCCGGCGCACACGGATCGCTGCGTCCGATGCTGGAGGCGCTGTTCCATCGCATGGTGCTGCTGCCGGCGCCGCTGAATCGCACCGAGCCGCTGCGCTGTGTGCGCGAGATCTTCAAGAGTCCGGAGCGTCTCATCGATCTGGCGGTCATACTCTATGTGGACAAGAATACGGCGCAGGGCTGCAGCGATGAGATGGCGCTCTTCCGACTGTGCGTAACAAGGCCTGCAGCGAGCTAACAATCAACAAAGAAAATAACCAATATTAACTGAATCCTTTGTCTGTTTTGCAGCCTGGTCGATGCCATGGAAGAGTGCGCCTATGGCGCCAGCGCGGGCAGCGCCACGGAGGCCAGCCTGCAGGCGAGCGTCGAGTGCATGGTGGCGCTGCTGGACAGCCTGCAGGTGCTCTGCAGCGGCGAGCTGACCGAGTCGATGATCAGTGACCAGATTGTCCAGGTGGTGAATGCGCGGCACGAGCTGCTCAAGGATGCCGACTACTCGGGTCCGTTGACATATCAGAGCATGGCACGGCTGCCGGCACCGTATCGGGATGCCATTGTTGAGTTTCGTCAGAATGTTTTCGAGACATCGTCCGGTTCGGAGAGCGAATGTGAGCCGCCGCACGAGCAGGATGCCGCCTCGAATGGCTCCGGCGATACGGAGGGGCCGGAGGACGATGAGCACAGCAGCTCCAGCGATGAGACATCGCGCGTAGAGAATCGCTGGCCCTATTCGCACCTGGAGGCGCCCGTCATGCCAATACGCACGGACAGCGACAACGATCGGCAGCATGCACGCGATTTCGCCAAGGCGTTGCGTCAGGATCTGGTGCCAAAGCTGTTGCGTTTGCGCAGCTGCGTTGAACTGGACGAGGCCATGCAGGAGTTCGCATCGGCTGTGTGCCAGGAGAACAGCATGAATTTCTCCGATTTCGATTACAATCTGACGGCCATCAATGCGGATGGCATTTACTTGGCCATCTACTCCTCGCTGCTGCTCAGCCTGCAGCTAATGCGAGCCGGCTACTATGAGCAGCAATCGGTTAAGGAGAGTATATTGGTGCCCATGTCGGAGCAGCAGTTCGTTACATCCGTACAGAATACGGGCGTACTTGTCTATCTATCCTCGCCCTGGCTGTGCGAGCTCTATCAATCGGTAATCATTTGCAATGTCCTGGAGGCCATGACCAGACAGCAGCTGGAGGGGAATGGACCTCGTTGCGCCTTGGTCGATATGCTCTGCGATGCCGGCGGCTTGGCCAGCACCCAAATGCTATCCGAATGGCAGCGACTGCAGACGGCGACAGTGAAGCACAGCGATGACGAACAGCACGATAAACGACGCGAGGCGGCCAAAAAGCTGTGCCGCCGCCTGCTCACCTGCTGCTGGGAGTCCATGGTCATAGTGCTTAGCTCGGGTCTGGGCGATCTGCAGAGCACCGCCTCCAACAAGCTGATGGCCCTCTCCAAGCGCACGCTGCGCGTCAAGGCCAAAGCCAACAAGTCCAATGGCGAGGCCCTTTACGCCATGTGCCTGGATGGACTGCATTCGGTGAGGCATACAATTAGTCATATGCATAAGCTCTGGCTAATCGTTACAGTTTTTGTTACCGATAGGCGGCCACTTTGAGCAACAGCCTCAATCTGCAGCATTTGGCTGGCAAAATACTCAATCTGTTGGCCTCCAATGTGTGCCAGACGAGCGGACCGCGCATCTCGGCCAGCCAGGCCATGTCCATGGATGTGGTGCTCACCGGCGGCCTCAATTTGGGCAGCTACAGCGCCGACTGCTGGCAGAGCATCTTTGCCGTCTGTCGCCATGTCAGCCAGCTGGAGCATGAGATTTTCAGTATGCAGAATCCGTCTATAGCCGCCTCCCCGGGCAGCACACGTCGCGATCTGGAGACGGGCGAGAAGCTTAACAATGGCAATGCTCAGGATAAGCTCAATCTATCCTCGATTCCCATCGACGATGATGAAACGTGGTGAGTTTTGCGATATACACACGAATGATTCGATTTGGTTTGAGTTAGGCGACACAGGGAGATAGTCGTCGATAAGTGAAATATGTTATGGATGTCGATGTAGAGATTTATTTGGGAGTCCCAGCCAAATCGAAACAAATGTCCACAAGCTCATTTTTGCCCAGCTAACTTACTCTTTCATATTTCTTGTACAGCGTGGATGTGTATAGCTTTTTGCAGGCGCCGCTGCAGAGCCCCAATACGAATATCACGTCCATACTGAAGGTTTACTCCGGCACCAATGAGACGGTGCTGCTTAGCCAGAGCGATACATCGAAGGTGCTCTGCGCGCTGTCCCACCAGGCCGAGAATCTGTTTAGCGATGCAGCCGAGCGGCTGAGTCTGCCCTCGCTGTGTCAATTCCTGAAGCATCTGTGCCGCGCCTCACGCGATCAGCTCTACAAGAGTCAGGTGGCACGCAAGGGCGGCGGCACACGCATCTGGTGGCCGAGCAAGGGCTGGAAGAAGCTCGACTCTCTGCCCATGTCCCTGCTATTGCATCGCATCGGCGATGTAACGCTCAAGGTGTTCCGCAGCTCGCGGCCCCTGCTGCACGTGCTCAAGGTGTGGGCCATCACAGGACCGCATCTGATGGACGTAAGTGCATAGTTGAAGTATAGAGTATATAACCAACTAATTATTGTTGCTGCTTTCAGGCTGCCTGTCATCGGGATCGGATGATCTCGAAGCGTGCCATTGAGTACATACACGATATAATAACGGCCCTGCTCGTGGAGCAATCGGAGCTGCCGTATTTCCACTTCAACGAGGCGCTGCTAAAGCCCTTCGAGAATCTGCTGAGCATGGACACCTGCGATGTGGATGTACAGGATCAGATTGTCGCCTGTCTGTATGAGATTGTTGAGGCGCATCGCACCGAAATACGCTCCGGCTGGCGGCCCCTGTTCGGAACGTTGCGCAACGCACGCAGCCGCATGCTCAACATGAGCAACATCATCGACATCTTTCGTGTCTTTCTCGACTCCGATAATACGCTGGTGTTTGCCAATGCCGGTCTCGATTGCATATTGTGTTTGCTCTCCTATTTGGAGATCGGTGGTGGGGGCAGCGGCGGTGGCAGCGGCGGATCCAATAATAACGCATGCGGCGAGGATAATGAAAATACATTTAGGCCAACCGATTTTCTGCATGAAACGCTGCGTTTTCTGGAGCGCTGCTCCAGCATATTGGGCTTTATGTACAGCATGCCCAAATGCCCGAATTTCCATTCGACATACAAGATCAAGGGCATCTCGTATACGCATATCATAGACGCCAATATACCCAGCTCCATGGAGAATTTCACCTACTTTGGCAACGACTATTTGCAAACAAAGAACGAACAGTATATGATCTCATACAGATCGCTGCACATCGACAAGGACACGATTGTGAAGATCGATGAAATGGATAAGCCGTCGGGTGTGCTAAAGGTGTGGTTCCTGCTGCTGGACGGTCTGACCAATTCGTTAATTGTCTGCCCCTACTCACATCAGGCGCCCATCTTGCAGACCATATTCAAGCTCTTCAAGAATCTGCTAGCCAGTCCGGGCATCGATTTCGGCTTCTATTGCATCAATCATCTGCTGATACCGATGATACAGGATTGGTTGCGTTATATCAACAAGACGGCGATCAGCTGGCAGCTGGTCGAGAAGAATTTCAAGCATTGCTGCTGCATGACCACAGATCTGGTTGTGGAGTTTATTGAGAAATCGGTGCCGGAACAGCGACGCCTCGGCGCCAGCTGTAAGACGCGCCTCGCTCAGATCGTTCATCCCGCCGACAATCTGATCTATTCGAAGCTCAAATTTGTGACGGAACAGCTGCCCGTTGCAACGGAAACGCAGACCGCCGGCATCGCCGGCACCGCCGTCACCGCCGGCACACAGTACGACAGCAGCTCGAGCTCGGCCAGCGATGAGCACAACAATCGAACGAATAGCACAAATCCGGCCACAAATCTGAATGTCAATCACAATCTGATTGAGTCGCCCACCAAGATCTCCGGCTCGGCAACGTTGGCGCTAAAGCAGCTGTTGCTCGTCCTGATCGAGTGCGCCGCCCAGTCGCAGGAGGCAATTGCACGCATATCGGTGTCCTGTCTGAAGCACGTCATCCTCTCCACGGGCATGCTGTTCAACGAGTCACAGTGGATGATCGCCTGCTCGGCCATACATCGCGCCTGCACGGTCACAATTGCGCCGTTGCGCCAGCTCTCGTTCGCCTTCCACGAGAAGTCGAACAGCTTTTATGGCGATTGCGCCAATGTCAAGGTGGCCGCACGCCGCGACAGCACTTTGGAGGAGCTGGCACGCATCTATGCCCTCGCCCAGCAGGTCTTCCTCTCCGACAATCAGCGCGAGCCCAACCAGAGCCAGGGCGCCGGACAAACAGCGACGCCCAACACGGCGGCCGGTGCTCAGTGCAAGAGTTCGGCAGGCGGTTCGGCGCAGCTGTCCGACGATCGCAGCTATTCGTTCCTGCTGTATCCGCTGAACAATGGCTTCAATTCCAATTTGGATAACTTTGTCATACGCATACCCTTTAAGAATCTCGTGGTGGGTCTGCTGGCCAACCAAATGCTGCTGCAGCTGGTGGCCAAGCTGCTTCTGTCGCGTCTCAAGTGCGTGCCGCAGGCCGTCTCCACGTGCATATTTGATAACTATGCCGGCTCGGCATCGACGCCCAGTCACGACTACGATTTGGACTTTCGCTCCAAGGAGATCCTGTTGCGCTGTGTCAAACAGTATCTGATGTCCGCACTGGAGTTCGATTCGCGTCCGGGCCTCAAGTTCCTCATGCAGAAGGTCTCGAATATTGAGTATGCGGCCAATTTGTACAAACAAATGACCTCCTCCTGGATGATATACTACATAGCGCTGGTCGACTCGCATCTCAATGATATTGTCGTCTACAATTTGGGCGCCGAGGATTTGAATTTCATATTGGAGTCGTGTTCACGTCTAAACACGACCACCGTCAAGAAGAAGGAGAATTTTGTGCGCTATTTGTTCTGCCTGCAGGACGCCTGGAATCTGGTCTGCGAACTCTATCTGAGCAACTCGGCGCTGCACGATATCGAGAATGGAAAGCTGCGCAGCCAGCAAAAGCAGCCCATGCATCTGGCCGCCAAAACCATGTGCATTGCCATCAATGGCAACGGCGATGCGGCCAGCAGCAGCGCCAATCACACGGACTCGGGCACGGATGCCTGCAATGGCAGCACAAATTCCACGTCGCCAACCAAATGCGTCCAGCTGGAGGAGGAGAATGTGACGATGACAACGTTGATCAGCGAATTCCAGCCCAAGTGCCGCAGCAATCCGTTCGACACGAATCGCCAGGCGGCCAAAACGGAGGCGGAGTCCATTTCACCCGAGATCGAGCAACAGCGCGCGACGAGCATACTGAAGGATTCCAATTATAAGCGGGCAGCGCTCGCCCAGCTCGTGGTCGCCTCCATGGAACTGTTGCGCTCGCTGCCCAACGAGGCTGAGGAAAATCTCAAGCTGCTGATGACGCCCACAATACGGGAGGCATTCCGGCTCGTCCAGCTGCAGGGCAACGAGCTGAAGGTTAACCAGTTTTAGGCAATGCTTGTTGAGTTTTATTTTGATTTGTAGGCGCAGCTAATCGGCCCTACACATTACCTGGCTCACTCACTCACTCTCAACCTTTCAACTCTCTCCCCTCCCCTCCCCCTTCACTCTCTCTCTCTCTCTCTCGCACTCTCTGTCACTCGCTCGATCTGCATGTGTATCCTTCGTAAGCTTTTATGCTATGATGGGAATGACTCAGGTACACACTAATCCACATCCTGACTTTCTGATATTACACAAGTCCACTGTTCAACGGAAACCATAATTTTTAACAAGGTCTAACCTAACCTCTATTTTACCCAGCTCGATGTATATTTGATTTAACTTTATCTAGGTTCAGCCTCATACCAAATTAATTTCAATCAAACCTAAACTCTGTTGAGAGTAAACAGTCAAAACTTGGCCATTTTTCAAGTTTAGCCTTATTAGAATTCCATAATTTAACCAAAACTCAATTTAACCCAAGTTCAACTTAACCTCAATTTAAGTGAACATCAATTCAGTCTATAGTTAAGTTAACGTAATCCAATTCCAACCTAAGCTCAGTTGAAAAGTACACGATTTATCTTCAAATAATTCAGCTTAATTTAAGTTTAAATAATCCTAACTTCAACTTAACCTCAACTTCAATTGAAAGTTGCTTCACTGCGATCAGCTGTGTGGCTTTGCATTACGGTTAATTAAGGCTACGTTTTACGACGCACGCTCTCTCTCTCTCTCTCTCTCCTTCTCTCTCTCTCTCTCACACACGCACGCACGCACACAGACAACCAACCCCGCCCCTTACACAGCAGGCAAACCATTTCAAAGTAAAAGCTCAACATGTCGGCACAAAAAAAAAAGCAAACTGAACGAAAGTACAACTCGAATGCTGCAACAGAACAGGAAGAAGACGTAATTCAAGAAGAAGAGTTAACAATTTGTAAAATGTAGTAAGAAGCAGCAGCAGCAGCAGCAGCAGCAGCAGCAGCGTAGACAACGTAGTCTTGTACATTGTAACTATTTAGCAGAAAACAAAAGAGAACCCTTTTAACCACAACTTCAACAGCCCCACAGCACCTTCTCCCATTAATTCCATTATAGTCATATAGTCTTGCTCTCTCTCTCTCTCTCTCTCCCTATCTCTCTCTCTCTCTCTCTCTCTTATGTGCAGCACTGTAATATTTTCTCTGCCTCTCACTTATTTTAGGCGCTAGTTGCTCCAGTGTCTAGAACTTTTCCAGTACGTAATGTAAAATCAAAAAAAAAAAAAAAACAAAACAAAGAAAATGTTTTATAATAGTGGAACATGTGTAATATAAAGTATATCATCGATCGCTATTATGTGTTGTGCCTAAGTAGCTAACCTAGAAAAAGAAAAACAAAACAAAAATGAAATGAAGGGAATATCAAAAAAAAAAAGAAAAAACAAAGAACAACTTCAAAGTAAAAATCAAAAAAACCAATAATATTTTTGATGGCCTTTAAGCGTAGAGCGCAGCGCCATATTCGATTCAAAACTGTATGCCAGCATATATATATATAAATATACATACATACATACATACATATGTATATATATGTGTATATATATATATGTATATGCTAGCGATATTTGCAATATTCAACTTGAAATATCTTATATCTGGCCTAAGAGCCGCTTCAAAAACTTCTGTATAGCCTGTATATTTTCGATATCGTTAAACTAAGCGATAGCTATAAAAAAACGAATACCAAATTGTAAACATATATCGAAGTTTATATGTATTTCCTATGGAGCAAACTGTAAAAACAAAAAAAAAAAAAACAAAAAAGCTGAGAACAGTTCTTAACTATAGCTAAAGGTAAACATATATGAATCGGATTTCAGCTCAATGTTATAGACATATTTGAAAAGAGAACTAAGTGTAAACTGTATTATAGTTCATAATTTGCCTCAACCAATATCCATATACATATATATACATATATATATATTATAGAGTATATACGAATGTGTACTATCTGCTATACATATACAAATACATGCATATATATATACATATATATATATAAATTATAAATGTAAACATATAGTGAATGTTAACTAACACAAAATCAGTGCCGCCCATTAATCCACGATTACCACCATTAAGAATTAGTCAAACACACACACACACACACATACACACACACACACATATAGACACACACACACGCATATACCTATAAAGCCTAAAGTACTTTATGCATACACTTCACATACTTGTATATATATAAACGATATATATACATATATATGTATGCATATATATATATATATTTGTATGTGATCAGTAGTCCCGCGCTGCCTTTAAACTAGCATACATTTTGTACCAGTGTGCGTACCTAAGAGAAACACAAACCTTACTTACAAAATTCTCGTAACACTTTTGCACTAACTAAATCGTCATCACTTTTAAGCCTTTGTTCAAAACTTGGTCAACATGTAATAGCTTTAAAGTTCGTTTACGCCCAGCTTTTGAAAGCCCCCGATATTGAAATGAAATACATATAGCTACACCATACCATATATACATATACATATACATATACATATACAAATACATATACAAATACATATATACATACACGTATGCGTATTTAAAGAGCTAAAGAGTTATATATGTACATCTCTCTATCTCGCTCTCTCTCTCTCTCTTTCACTATATATATAAATGTACTTATATGTATTATAGTTGCCTCTTAAATATATATACTCTATGTTGTAAATGTCGAAACCGAAAAAAATCATTTTTATATATGACAACTATATGGAAGACTATATATATATATACATATATTAGCTACAGCGCTACAAATCTATACGTACATATTTACGACTATTATATATACATACATATAAACAAGTATATATATTTTTCGCTTCTTATGTTATTTATGTACTTGCCCAACTCTCTCTTTCTCTCTACTTGTATTAACATGTAACTAAAACTAATGTACTTCAGTGCGAAGAGTATGGCAACAACAAAGAAATGAAATACCAGAAATGAGATAGCGAAATTGTTGAATGGCAAACTATGTGTATGTGAACTTCCGCTCTGGAAGAGCGCGATTGTAATATGAATGAAAATACAAAATTAAATAACGCTTTCGCAACTTTACTAAAACACATGCTACCGCTTTCAATTTGTTTTCAAATTCAAAAAATGGCGGGCGCGCTCTGCAAGCGCAGCTCACTTCACTCGTCTAACGGCTGCCCAAGTGGCAACTCTGCGCGAGGACCTTTTCGGCTTCGTTATCGATAAGTCGATACATGCGTGCACATGCGACACAGTTCCAGTCGATAACAGTACGGTAGGAAATTTGTCAGTTGAATTCGATTAACTATTTTAAATGTGTTATTGGAGAATCTTTTTTTCTGCATTCCTCTGAATAATCTTTTCAATATCCTTGATCCGGGAAGTAAAAACGTTTCCAGAGTTTGTGAATTATTGACGTATGCTCGTAATTGATTAAAAAGTACAAGAATTGAAATTGGTTGTGTAATTTTTTTTGCTTTGTTTTATATGCCACAATATCGCGTTTATTAATTTGCGTGTACATACGTGCACGTACTTCATTTGTATTTGTTATATGCATATATGTATATAAATATATATGTGTGCATACATATGTAAATATATACATAGACGCATACATACATATGTGTATATGTATATTAACACCTTTAATGGCTAAGCTTAATTTATTTATTACAGTTAGAGGACCTTAATTAGAAACTGTTTGACTTTTCAATTTCAACTTAAAATTATGTTGACATGAAAAAAAAATGCCTTATCTTGGTTGCGTTAATAATTAACTCTTAAGTGTTCGTTTATATATTATGTTTAGGTTCTTTTTTTGTTTTGTTTTGTATTGTTTCTTGCATTTTGCTTTTTCTTCAACTAGCAAAAAGCTGCGCGCTGCGCTGCAGCTTTCAATTAAAAATTAAATATAAAAAAAAAAAAACAAAAAGAAAAAAGCGTAATTTAAATAAGGTCAGAAATCATATATGGGGGCATTTTACATACATACATACATACATAATAATTATAATAATATGCGTGTGTGTAACTAAAACGTATGCGCAATAAATAGTTAACATTTGCTTGCTGGCATTTCATAGTGTGTGCATGTGTCTGTGTGTGTGTATGTGTGTGTGTGTGTGTTTACTAGCGTAAATGTTAAACTTAGTTAAATTAATTAATATTTAAATCATTAAGAAAAGTCCATATAATAAGCGTTTTCATTTGTTTTCACTATATCTTTTTTATCCATGTCGTTTTTGTGTGTGTATGCGTGTCTGTGTCTGTGTCTGTGTGTGTGTGTCTGTGTGTATGTGTGAGCTAAACAGTTAGAAATTAGAAATGTCGACTTTGAGTTTCTAATAGGCTTGAAAATACATTTCGACTTATGTACGATGCGATTTTACAACTAAAATTACAAAGAATCTATGTAAAAGGTATAAGGAAAATCCATCTAAGTAAACAAAAAAAAAAACCAAAAACAATTAAATCGTAAAAAGAAAATGTAAGCATGAAATGTGAGACAACTATTTTCGCCAACTCCCTTGCTGTTATTGTTGTTGTATGTGTTTTCTGGGTAGGATGTTATTTTGGAAAGAGACAACGACATAGTCTGGATCCGTGTGTTTTTGTTGGTGGGTGGAATTTTGTGTTTTTGTTTTTGTTTCCGTTTTGTTTTGTTTTCTTGCTTTTGTAGTTAGTTTAATAGTTGAATTCCTCCTGCTTCTCGGAGTCGCTGCGCAGATCGTTCATGAGCGGCTCAAAGCATGACTTTGGTATCATGGTGCCGACTATTTTTTCGCCCTCCGTTGTCTTCATGCGTATCACCTGCATTTTGCTATTGGAGCGCGTATTCAGGATATGCTCGACACGGCCCCACACCGACAGCACGGAGCCGGCGAGCACATGATAGAGACGTTGCCGCAAGCCCACCTGCAAATCGAATGAATATATGAATATATATATTGGGATTGGGATTGGGATTGGGCATGCGTCGGCTTACCTCGCAATCGTTGCCCAGACTGACGTTGCGACAGTTGCCGTTCCAGTAGGCGTGCGAGCAGGTGTGCACCGAGGCGTCGTACTGTTCGGTCCAATGCGGTTCGGCCTCCTCGCTGGCCACCTTGCGATACTTCTTCTCCAGTTCGGCGAGCGATTCGTGTCGCACCTGCAGGCCCGTATTGGGCCTGTATATCTGGCACATGATCTCCTTTTTGGTGCGCGACTTCTTCTTTTGCGCCTTGCTGCTGCTGTCCGCATCCGTGGAACTGCGCGCCGGCTGCTGTTCGATGACAACCACCAGGATTGCGGTGCGCTTCTGATTGCGCAGCTGATGCGACGTATAGAAGCCCTCGTGCTCATTGAACAGATCCGCATATCTAGAGGAACGAATGTGCATACGAGTAAGATTAGAGCCTGAGCTTTGCATTCAAGTTGTGCGGATTTTGCATGCTCACTTATCAATCGCCTCCTGCCAGATCATGCCGCGCTCCACGCGCACCGTGTGCAGCTCTGTTGGTGCCACGCCTGTGGCATGTTTGCGCATAAAACGCATCAGACGCACACGGGTCACATTCTCGCCGGCGGCGCCCAAGTCTGTGGAGAGAGAGAGAGAGAGAGAGAGCGTAAGTTGGGATGAAGATAGATCATATATATGTATGTCCACTTTGTGGGATGCCTTGGGTGGTATCGCAACTCACCGACAATGCCCAAATCGAAGCGACCGCCACGCTTGGCCTGATTGATGATGGCCGTCATGGTGTCCGTGAAATACTTGAATAGACGATTCTGCAGATCGACGGGACAGCCGAGAATGCGATTGAGAAACTTGGATATGTTATTGTAGTCCTTGTCCAGGCTGAGCACGCCCGGATGGCTCTCGCTATTGACAATAATGCCAACGCCCACCAAGGCGCCGGCAATATCCTTAAAGAACTCGCCGCTATAATCGGTGGGCGGCGGCACCAGCGGCGACTCATAGCCCATTATGGTGCGCATGACCGTCTCCAGCGCCTGCCGGCCATACTTGTTATCGATGTTGAACTGTGAGAGATCGCGCGTCTCTGTGGCCCGACGATCGCCGTGCGTGAGTGCGCCCAGCGATTCGAGTCGCTTGGCCACCGTCGACGCGAATCGCCGCTCGCCGGCCAGATCCGAGATGAGAAATATATATTCGGGCGCGTTCACCTGATTGGAGCGATGCGTCCGTCCGAATTGCTGTATGGCCCGATCGGCGGACCAGGGCAGCTCGAGCGTGATGTGAACGCGCCGTCGCTGATTGAAGACGCGTCGATCGCTTTGAAGCGAGATGCCGCTGGAGGCGGCCTCCGAGATGATGGCGACATCCTTTTGGCCGTCCATAAAGCGCTGCTTCTCGGTTATGTTGAGCGTCTCGAGCGGCACATCCGACTCCGTGCGCGATTCATACTGTATGGAGCCGTCGTCGCTTTGGACGACACGACCGCGCCGGCCCGTCATTTCGGCCACGTTATCGGGTCCGCCCAGTTCATCGATCAGCTGGTCCAATGTATTGGGCGGCAGCCGGGCGCCGAGACGTTCTATTTTGCGCAACAGCTCCTCCTTCATGGTGCAGGCACGCTCGATCGCATCCTTCGGCGGCGGGCCATAGTTCAGCTTGACCCCATTCACGCCCACCGGCGTCATGGTGCCCTTGAGCTCCTGTTTCTTTTGCAGCAGATCCTGGATCTTGTCCTGTGTGGATTGCTGTTGTGGCTTGCGGCTTTTGGCCGCATTCAAAGCGGCAACCACTGTGGCGGACATGGTCGCATTGTTGTTGTTATTGTTATTGTTGTTGCTGTTGTTGTTGCTGTTGCTGTTGCTGCTCGCTGGAGGCGCGCCGGTGGCTGGCTCCTTTTTGATTTTCGGCTCCTTCTTGATGCTCTTCTTCTTCGTTTTGGACTTCTTTTGGGTCTTCTTGTTGGCGCTGCCGCTGGACTTTTTGCTGCGCGCATTCACCCAGGGATCGATGTCGCTGTCGCTGCCGCTCATGAAGAACGGATTGAAATCGGAGCTATAATCGCTGGCGACACTGTGCCGATCGCTGTCCCCGTCGTGCTTGTCCTCATCATCGTCGGCCTCGTTGTCGTTCTCATCATCGTCGGCCTCGTTGTCGTTGTTGTCGTCGTCGTCGTCGTCATCGTCATCGTCATTGTCGCCACCCGCGTGATCATCATCGCAGGCATCGTCGCTGTCCGCTGCGTTGTCGCTGTTGTTGTCCAAGTCGCCGCTGGATGTGTGCGCCGCCTCCTCGTCGCTGTCGCTGTACTGCCAGGAGCCGCTGCGCTTCTTCTTTTTTGTTTTGCGCCCGCTGCCCTTGCCGGCGCCCTTTCGCTTACTCCGGCTGCTGCTGCTGCCGCCGATGCCGCCACTGCTGCTGTTGTTGTTATTATTGTTGCTATTGTTGTTGTTGTTGAGCAGACTGTGCGGCTCCTGCTTGACGGGCGGCGTCTCGTCGTAGAGGCCCAAAATGCGATTGATACGATTGCGATCGGGCGCCGGAAAATGCCGTTCCACAAACGACTGGAAAACGCCTCTGCAAGGTGTAAAAAAAAATGTGTGAAACAAAAGTTTAAATTTTAATATAATTACATGCGATTCATTTTGGCTTAAGTTGACTAACTGCATTCAAAAGCTTTCAGCAGTCAATAAAAGCTCCTTAAAGCAAGACAAAAGCTGTATTGAACTGTATTGAAAGCACGCTCTACTCAAAATTAAGCTCAGCTTAAAACTTATCGTTTAGTCGATTTTTAGCTTTAGGTAAAAACAAATTAGTTGCACTTAAAAAGAAGAATTGAATTAACATACTTTAGGCTATAGCTCGATATAGCACAAAAGCTCTAATCTAACTCAAATGAAAGCACGCAAAAGCTTCAAACAATATTTGATGTTGTAAAGCACAAAAACATCAAGAAGCATAAATTGCTTTAGCCTAAAATAGGGACACAGTCGAGACAGTGAATACGCTTGAAATAGCTGACAAATACTTAACAAATATTTAACGATCGCAAAAGCACAAAAAAGCTTTAAGACATACAAAATATTTACACTTAAAATGAGTAAAGCTCATGAGCGGGATCAAAGCTTAAATTTAATTTGATGCGATAGCTAAATAAAGATTTAAAATCTTGAAAAACTAAAATCAACCTAAAGCTTTGACTTAAATCAAAGTTAAAGCTCTGGATAGAAGACAGCTTCAACGCCTCGAAAGCACATTAAAGCTTTGGACCTAGCTCAAAGCTCAACTTCAGCCTGCTCTTCACTGTAAACTGGTTTAAAATGTATGTTCAAATTGATTCGCACAAAAACTCACTTGGCTGTGGACACAAAATCGGTCAGTTCACCATCGTCACGCTCCAGCTGATCGAGGGTGCGCGCCTCGCCGGTGGACTGGAGGCCGATGACAACACACTTGCCATATTTGATGGACTCGCGGGCGACAAGGACCGCATGGTTGACCTTGGCCGCAATGCAGAGATATTTAAAGAAACGCTGATGCGAGGACCAGAACTGACCCCACATGGTCTTCTTCATGCGGCTCTCGGCATCGATGAGCTCGGCGGCCTCTGTGAATTTTTGCATGGCCTCCACCCAGAGCTCAACGCTCTGATCATAGATTCTGCGAAACTCCTTGGAGAGCGGCACCTCCTCAATCTTGAAACTGACACCCTTGAAGCTCAGCTGGCGGGCGATGTACATGCCGCGCAGCTTCATGTCCATGGCCACAATTTCCATGGCGCCGACGCCGCTGCAAATGAAACATGGATCAGCATTGGCTAGAAGATTATCGATAGGAAACTTACCGTCGCTCCACGGCGGTAATAAAATCACCGAAACTGCCAAAGGCTGTGCCCTGTCCCCAGAGGCCCAGGCGAACCATATAGGCCATGTTCTTTGGCTCTGAGGCGCCCGTCGCCGAGGCATAAACAACTCGCGCCTTGGGCAGCTTCTGCTGCAGCTCGAGCACCGTTTGGCCCGTCTTTGTTGGCTTGCCGGAGCCAACCGGGCACAGATTCTTCGCCTTGTGGCACTCATCGAATATGATGAGACCCTCAAAGTCCTCGCCGCACCACTGCAACAGCTGCCGGAACCGCGAACGATATTTGCCCGTCTTGTTGTTCGACTCGCCAATCAGGGCCGAGTATGTGCTAAAGATGACGCCACGTTTGCAATTGTTGTTCGCATCCGAGCTAATCTTCGCATATTTAAACTGCAATGCGGAAAAGGATGGTAATTTAATTACGAAGTACAACTACAAATTTGAGTGCTTCAATGCGTACAAATGCTACTAGTAATTACCGCTCAAATGCCATTTAATTACTGGGGAAATTGTAATTACCCAACAATTACTTTAATGGTTGCCCCATACAAATATTTTGGAAATTAGTTTATATAAACTTTGGGCATTCCACAACAATAACCCAATTAATTACTTGGGAAATTCACCAACAATTGCCCAATAAATTACTTGGGAAATTCGCAGACAATTACCTAATAAACTACTTATTACAATTACGACTCTTGATATTGATGACCCAATTAAATAAATTTAAAAACATTAAACTTAAGTAGTTTTCAAATATTATTACAAAATTAAAAAGTTACTTTGCCAAATTATATAAATAAACAACTAATTGCTTGATTTCGAAATTAATAAACAACATTTTCATATTTGTGCCAGACTGATTAATTACTTAAGCGCCAAATGGCATAACTTCTAAATTAATTACCTAAATTATTATATGGCTGCCTGATATTCTCAAGTAATTACATTTTGTGAACGCTCTGCACGGTAGACAATTTTTTCATGCACACAAAATTAAAATTTCCAAACATAATTACTCATGTAATTAAACTAATTAAGTTTAATTACTCTAGTAGTTATATTTACATATTCTTGTACAGTTTTGTCTAGTGCATGATAAACATACTAGCTAAGCAAACATATGAATAGTTAAATTTTCCTAGCGCAATTACTAAAGTAATTAAGATAAATTACTCGAGTAATTAAATGTACAGCTTTTCAAGATCATTTGATATAGAGGAAATTGAAATATATTTCGATAGTTAAGTGTGTCTGGCACAATTACTCGCGTAATTAAATGGGTAATTCTAATAATTGAGACCTATTTTGAAGGTAATTTAAAATGTTGCCCACCTTATTGAGCGCATGGACCTCGATGCGCGTCGCTCCAATGTCGCTGAGATCGCGCTCCGCATCGTATTTGAGATCATTGGAGACGGATATCCAGAGGGCTTTCTTGCGCCCCTTCAGGTAGTTCTCGTAGATGATGCCGGCAATGGTGCGACCCTTGCCAACGCCGGCGCCATCGCCAATCAGGAAGCCGGCACGACTGCCATCGGGCAGGAGATGATCGTGTGCCTGGGATGCGTACGTGATGGACTCCAGCTGTAGGGCGCTCAGCTGGCCGCTGTTAATTGTCTCGGCGGGTATCGACATTTTATAGTAGACATCGCACGGATCCACCGAGCTGAGCGAGGCGGTCTCCACGACCGCATCCGGATGCTTCTTGCCCAGCTTGACTGTGGATCAAATCAAAATAAGATTTAATATTCGGATGCAGCGGATTGTTATTGTTAGCGGGCCAGGAACACTTACGCTTTGCTGGCCAATAGTCGGCATATGTTTCGGCCACGCCCATCTCCTCATAGTCCACCTCATCCTCCTCCTGCTGCACATAGACGGCCGCCGAGGCAGCCGCTGCGGCTGCAGCTGCCGTTGCCGCATTCGCATTCGCGACGGCCGCATTCTGCAGCTGCAACTGTTGCAACTGCTGCTGCTGCTGTTGCTGCTGCTGCGTCATTCGCATCGGTTGCATGAACAGCTGCGTCATCACATGGTTGGGTATGCCGCTGGTCAAGTACTCCGGATTGAGGGCGATCAGCTTCTGCAGCTTCTCCAGCATCATGGTGTTCACCTTCATGCCACCGCCGCCGCCGCCGCCCGCTGCGCCCGCTGCAGCTGCGGCTGTTGCCGTTGCTGCGCTGCCGCCGCCGGCGCCGCTGTTGCTCTTGACTGCGCTGGCGGCAGCGCTTTGTGGCATGCTGCCCGGCGGCAGCTTGTACGGTGCACGCATGGGCGTGGCAGCGCCCGCATAGCTCACTGCAAGACAAGTGTGTTTTTTTGTTTGGTTGTGATTTGTTGTTGTTGTTGTTGTGGTTGTTGTTTTTGGTGTGCGTGTGCGAAAGAGATGGAATGCATGGAAAGAGTTGTATGAATGCAGACAGAGCAAGAGAAAGAGAGAGAGAGAGAGAGAGATGGAATATATTGCATGTGATTAGTAGAGCAAATAAATTGTTTCTTTTTTATTATTTTTAACTCAACTAAAAATCGCAACTAGACTCTAGACTTAATCAAGCTATCAAATGGAGACAGCTATACCCAGTATAAATCATATTTTGATTTGATATACCCTAGAAAAAGTAGGGCTAGGAGAATCAGTTGCAGCTGCCGGCGATTAGTTCAAGGCTTCAAGGCAAACACGGACTCGGCTATTGATCAGGCTGAATATACTCAGCATAGAGCAAGAATATGGCCAATGCTTTATAATTTATACTGCACGAGGTCGGCGAAGCCCTCTTTTGCCCGTATCCCAACCAAATTCAATAAAGGATCTACTTTAGACGAAATGCTATAAAGTGTTAAGCGGAAAGGTTATCAGGAGTTCAGCTGCAGCTCGGACTAGTTAGTCAGCCGCAGTTCGAGTTAGTTAATCGCTCTCTCAATTTCCTTCGCGCCTTCAAACTAGCTGAGACAGAATCGAAATTTAAACAACACAGGTTTTCTACAGCAAATTCGAAGCAACATCATTTTAGCAGTAAAAGTCAAGAAAGTAGTTTACAGTTTACAATCCACCTATGAATCCTATAGAAGCTAGAAGTTGATGCCGGGCGCGGGTCCCAGGTGAATTCCACGATTAACTAGATTTGCTCAGCCGAGCTTGGATACCAGAGAAGGGCTGGGACTTCAATAAAGCGAAATAAAGATCAAACGAGCTATAATAAAGGCCACTCATATAGATCTAGCATAAACGATAAAGGCTTGAGGATTCTCCAAAGTGAAAGTGGGTCAGCGAGAAGTGTAACAGAGAACAGGGTCAAAGTATTTAAAGCGTGACTTCTATTTAATCAAAGAAATTTTAAAAACAATTAAAAGCTCGAAGATTGACGCCGGCATAATACAGTTCTCTTCCCGACACTCCAAATCGAGATGATCAATTGTCGTCCTCCCAGGGCTGCGGCCTGAACACGTTCCTCACGCTCCGCGGCTTGCACCAGCGCGTGTAGGCGTGCGGCCAGGGCGGCGGATACTTGAACCGGTTCATGTACAGCGAAAACGAGGACTTTTTGTACAATAGATTCGTCTCGAGCTGTTTGCGATTTATTGAGTGCGCATCTTCCGATGAACCCGATCCTGATCTCGATCCCGATCCCGATCCTGATCCCGATCCTGACTTGCATTTGCCGGCACTGATGCGATAATCTGCGGCCGCCAAATGTAATTCGCTCGGTTTGCTGAAGGGCGCCGAGCTGAACGCGTGATTTTGATATATTAGTTGTACAACCTTTTTCCGGGTCTTAACCTTAGCCTTATCCTTGTCGGGCTCCGACTGTGACAGCGACTGCGACTGCGACTCGGAACGCTGCGTCTGCGACTCCGAGCCCAATGTCAGCTCCTTGGAGCCGTCAATGCTGCTCGCATTGCTGTCATTTTGCAGCAGGCAGCAGAGACTCGAAGGCCGCAAATCGGCATCCAGGCGGGAGCTACTCGAACTGGAGAGCGACAGTAGCAGCTGCTGATCCTGCCGCCGCTCCAGCTGCTTGTGCTTGCGTTGCCTTTCCAGGTCGAGCTCATTTGCCCGTTGGGGCACGCTGCTCTTGTGCCGACTACTACTGAGGCTTCGATGCAGTCCCGCCTTCATGTGCACCACCGCCGGACGCAGCTTGTTCAGCCGTCGCATTATACGGTCCAGCAGCTGTGCGTGTCCCGGCCGCGCATGACCCAGCCGCGGCACCAGCTCCTCCATTAGCAAGTGCTCCAGCTTGGCCAAGGCGCGCGCGTGCACACGATAGAAACGGCCCATGGCGTGGGCCACCTGCACTCCAATCAAATGCTGCAAATGCTCCCGGGAACATTTGATGCCAAAGGAGACGCGACTCGGCGGGCGTCGCGCTGCGCTGCAGTTTTTGTTGTTGTTGTTGTTGCTGCCGCTGCTGCTGCTGCTCGCCGTCGAGGTGAAGGAGGACGAGTTGAGGCGGCTGCAGCTGTGGCTGCTCTGGATCATTGGAGTGAATTCGCTAGGTGAACCCGTTGGCTTCTTCATCTTGGTACTCATTATGAAAAAAAAATTGTGAAATTGATAGAAAAAAAAAAACGCTAAAACCTAAAAAGATAACAAACGCGTTTTCGATGTACAATTTATCAGTTCTTTTTAAGAATTCAAATTTTTTTTTTATTTTTTTTTTTTTTTTGTACTTAAAATTTTGTAAAAATTCTCGCGTTGTTTCGGATATGTTATTGGATGTAAAACTAAATCGAAAGTAAGCGCCTAAAGTCTACAAATAAAACTGAAAAAGAACCGTACAAAGCAAGGCCTACCGAGTAAAATGTGAGGCGAGTTGGTTCGCGCCAAGCAAAGCAATGCGATCCATTCAAAATTTGAGCTTAAAAACGTCGTAACAATAACATTTACAGGCTAACAGAGCTGGCTGCTGTTATTAACAGCGCTCTGTTTAGCAGTACAAAGCCCATTGAAAGTTAACCAAAGCTCCGCTGAATTTTGCGCTATGTTTACCAGGGCTGCAAATCTATGAAAAAACGGCCGCTGGTTCGATTCACAGTTCGAAAGAGCTATCCAAATTTCGCTTGATCCGAACTTAATTTGATGCTCGACTATACAAAATTGACATCTCACAAATATGTTTGGGTAAAAGGTCCAAAGGTTGAAGTCAAAGTTATATGTATGTATGTATGGCGACCGAGTCTCCATTGAGATTTGAAAGCGTTGCCATACTGCTGCGACCGAGATTTAAGAGGGGTGCCACAAGTCAATATTCAACAATTGTATATTTATGAAGCTTCTCTGCGAATTTACGAAAATACAGTGTTGTCCTTTTTTTAACAGAGAGCTTACAGGGTGGCCATATCGCTGCAATTGAGATTTGACAGCGTTGCCATATTAGAGAAACTGTAAAAAGATATTTCTCATTGTAAGAATTTAGGGAAAAACAGTGATGTAAACAGAGGCTAAACAGTGTTGCCATACTGCTGCGACTGAGATTTAAGAGTGTTGCCACAAGTCAAAATTCAACAATTGCAAATATTTTTAAGCTTTTCTGCGAATTTAATAAAAAACTGGTTTTGCCCTTTAACAGTGTGGACATATGTATTGCTGCAACAGATATTTGACAACGTTGCCATATTGAAACAACTATATCAATGGGCGATAATTGTATAATTTTCAAGTTTTTCTACAAATTGAAGATAAAACAGTGTTGTCCATTTGTAAACAGAGGCTAAACAGTGTTGCCAGATTGCTGCAACTGATATTTAACAGCGTTGCCATATTAAAGCGGTTCTGCGCGAGTTTAAAAACAAAATAGTGTTGTCTATTTATCAAAAAGATACCACACGGTGTTGCCATATTGCTGCAACTTTAAGGAATTTCTAAAAGAGTCTACGAAGATTTGACAGTGTTTGCCAAACCTCTGTCAACTACAACAAATGCAACTAGCTACCAATATTTGTTATGGCTTTTTGCGTGAGTATGAAAAGAGAAATTCATACACGCAACACACACACACACAGGTACACACACTCTCACACACGAACACAGACAAAGAGTTATTAACGGTTATTGTTAGGCAAATTCTTGGTTGTTACCAACATTACAGGACTTACTCTGCGCCAATAAAGACGCGGCCATGTTAAAATTGGCAGCAGAGGCGGCTGAAGTTGAAGCGCCTCCGCCGCTGCCCGAAAAGTAGCTACTGTTGTTGTTGATGTTGTTGTTGTTGCTAATGTTGCTGTTGATGTTGTTGTTGATGTTGTTGTTGTTGTTGCTATTGGGCGCCCCCTTGGAGGCAACATAGGCGGCGAGGCTCATCAGATCGTTGGTGCTCAGGCTGTTCAAATAGTTGCCGGCGCCGCTGCTCAAATAGGCGCTGGCAGCACTCAGGTTTGTGCTGCTGCTGCTGCTGCTGCTGCCAGGGTTGCCACCAGCTGTGCCGCTGATCCTTGTTGTTGCGGTATTCGTGCCGCTGGCGTTGCCCAATGCGGCTGCTGGACCAAAAACGCAAAACAAAACGAAACGAAACGAAAAGAAACAAACGAAGCAACAACCGCAAAACAAAAACCAAAAAACACGACCAAACAAAACATAAATAAAAGAAAAACACAATAGAAAAAGAGCGACAGAGAGAGAGAGAGAGAGGGAGAGCGACAGAGTGTGTGAAAGAGAGTGAGTATGCAGCAGCAGCAAAGTGAAGAGAGAGAGAGAGAGAGAGAGGGAAGAGAGAACAAGAACACAGCAGCATTAATTTAAAATTGAGCTTTTGATTGACTGGCGCAGTGTGTGCGTGTGCGTGTGTGTGTGTGTGTGTGAGTGTGTGTGTGTGCATTCGTATAGAATATGGTCACACTTACCCGTCAATTTCTTTGGCATGTTGTTGTTTAGGCTCTTATCAATGGCGACTTTTGTCGTTATTGTTGTTGGCAGCGCGGTAAATTTGCCGCCCGCAATTGCTGATTTTGTTGTGTGCGTCACAATTGTTGGCCGCAATACGGAAATGTTGTTGTTATTTATGTTGTTGTTGTTGTTGTTGTTGCTGCTGCTGTTGCTGTTGTTGCTAATGTTGCTGCTGTTGCTGTTGTTGCTGAGCAGCAAGGAGGTCGGTTTGCTGATGCTGCTGCTGTTGACTTTGTTGTTGTTGTGGCTGTTGTTGTTGTTGTTGTTGTTGCTGCTGTTGTTGCTGTTGCTGTTGCCAAACTTGAGAAAGGCGGCGCTTATGTTGCTGCCGCTGTGGCTGCCACTTGGGGCGCTATTCGCTTGCTTGTTGACGTTGATGCCAACACCGCTGCGAATGTTTTGCGCGTAGGTAACTGCAGTATTCAGATCACGACCGCCACCTGCAACAAACGGCAACAAAATCAATAAATATCTCGGTTGGAAAACAAATTAGAGTGTGCTCAAGTCGAAAGTGCCGCACGACCAGATACCCTTTATCCTTACAAACATATCTAATGCATTCTTAGAGAGTAGTTTCGGTGCTTAAAGTCCGATCCCTAAGCAATTTTTAGAACTTATAGCCTAACTGTCCACTGTCAACATTTCCTACATTCTTACATTGCGAATGTCACGCTTTTATTTTATTGTGAAAAATGTGGCCCGTCCGTTTTCCCATAAGCAAACACGTTTTTCACATTTGCAAAAAATAGTCAAGCGGTAACTTTTAAATAATAATTTTCAATTTTAATAATGTCACCGATTTTAACATTTAAAGATGTCCAAATCCCGCAGAGAGTCCATTAAATGAACTTCGAGGTCGTATTATTTGACTTTTGGAAGGAAAACTTGGGTAAATCAAACCGATTAGCTGTTTATTTAGAGAAGCGATACTTTTGCCACTCACATGTTACCGACAACGGACACTGGCCAGTGGAACCGCAAAATGTCAAGTTTGAAAATGTAACATTTTTGGAGCAGATTGGTATCAGGCGAAAAATTAATGATTCTGCATATGAGTTTACTATTTTCTCTTAAATGAGATTTTGCATATACAACATATTGATATAATATTATAGATACAGATATATGTATGCACTTATATACTTCTGGAGCTGCATTTGCTGTCTTTGCATTTGCATTTGCTAATCGATTAAATTCCCTTGCTGTAGCTGTTGCCGTTGCCACAGACCAGCCCCAGGCCCAGTCCCAGCCCCAGTCCGAGCGACCTGCCCCTTCGGCGAAGTAATACCCCCATTACACACCCCATGGCTCTCTTTGTTGGTTTAGCTGCTTAGTTGCGTTATGTGCATTATGTGCCCCTTTCCTGTTATATATGCATATCTAGATATATAATGAGTACATAATTAGCAAATGTCTGTGGGAATATGCGTACATGCTTACATGAAGTAGCTGGCGCTGGAAAGGAGGCAGGAGGCTCCGCAACGAGTCTATCTTCTGCATTCACCTGACGCCAATGGGGCGATGCAATGCATAAGTTCGCAGTTCGCAGCTGCGACAAGCTCAAGACGTTGTTTCCTACCGCCCAACTCCACTTACACACACGCACACACACGCACACACACACACGCACACACACAGCCAGTGACAAGTGGACAGCCGTGTTTGACATTGAATTGAAAATTGACTCGCGCTGCCTGCGAGCGGGAACATGGTTCATTACTTATCTATATATTCATTCTATATATTCGTACTGTAAGGAATCAGGGGACACAAACCGATTTGCCAATTGGAACTTGTTTACATAAACAAAGCCATGTCTTCTGCTATGGCAATAATGTACCTAAAATATCTATAGATATGTGTGCAACTAGGAATTACATTGTTTTGCTCACAATTGTAACGCAAACAATTGAACTCTAGATATCAGGCTGCAGCTTTTTCTTTGACCCTCAAAGTGTGAAATACGCCTCAAATGAATTTGAACAGAGCTCTTTGAATATGAATTCAGGGTCCATCGGATAGTAAACAACAAGGTTTCATACAAACGTTTTTCACGATTTTTCCACATTTGCGGGTGGAAGTCAAAGCCAAATCACCTTTATATATATTTTTATATATAAAACTATATATATATATATATATATATATGTATATATATATTCTATATATAGAACTGTTTGAACCCATATAGAAGAGGAAGAAATCAAGGATGCCTCCTTCTGCCTCTTGCATGGATTTTCCATAAGTTCAGGATATAAATATATGGCATCTCTGGCTTAAAGCGTTTCGGCTTAAAACGGTTCACAGTTAAGATTTGTAGTTCAAATATATCATTTCCTATTCATGTTAAGTAAATTTGGATTATCCGACAATCCTTGAAATATTCTAAAGATAGCGCTAAGCACGAGTTTTATACATATGTATAATATGTATAAAGCGGGAAGATTTTCGAAAATTATATTGCATACTAGATTATTTTGTATACTAAATATATTATTTTTTGAAAAACTTCAAAAATGTATAACTCGGAGATTATAAGAACTTTATAATAGATGTTTATTATTTAGATTTGGAATACCTTCAGTAGGTACAGTGAAGCCGCGATAAACGGACAGCTGCCTTGGGCGGAGTTCTCATTTAGTCGACCTTTGGCTCACATTTCCTTTAAATGCAATAAGTTTTTTACCTCTAATTTTTTTGGCTGAGTGTATTTCAACTGCGGCATTTAACTTAAATGAAATTGGTTTACATATTTTTTTGAAATGCTGAGGATATGCGAAATTCTGTGGATCAGAGGCCAAATATGAGGGTCGATTGATGGGATTATTGGGTTTAATTGGCAGACGTACACAAAATGTTGTCGCTGTTGTTGTTATTGCTCATTTATAATAGATAGTTAATTAAGGCCCACTGAGGACGGAGAAGGGGGAGAATTTGCATTGAGCTGACCATCAATACTTAATGCACATATGCCCAAAACCAAATGCAATATAGACAAACAGACGACGCACAGATGGCCACAATTGGATTTATATGTATTGCACCATGTTTATGTCTAAGTATATGTATGTGTATATGTATATGTATGTGTATGTGTATATGTATATGCATATGCATATGTATATGTATATGTATATGTATGTGTATATGTATGTGTATATGTATGTGTATATGTATGTGTATATGTATGTGTATATGTATGTGTATATGTATGTGTATATGTATGTGTATATGTATGTGTATATGTATGTGTTCTTGCGCAGCGCGATACGCATATGAATATCTATCTATATCTATAGTTATAGTTATATCCACATCCACATCTACATCAACATCTATATGAAGACAATAGCGTACATATATGTATATGTATATGGACAGACTATATGTATCTGTGTCCCGGCTTGGATTGAGCTGTGCATCGCATTTATGAGCACATAAATCATATCCATATATAATACAATCTGATTATCTTCGGGTTCTCCCTTGGCCCCCGACCCGACCGCATGCAGGGCTGCACATCGAACTTGCATTTAATTATTTTGATGCAAATTCGATTTTAATTAATATTTGGCCATCGCATACATAGAACTGATTAGGCAGAAACTATGCGAAATATTTGCCCTGGCCAGTGCAAAGAAAATGAAACCTCAATAGGAGATTATTAAACAGCTGAAATAATAATAAAAATAATAAATGTAACAATAAAAACAAACAAAAAAAATGAGTAGAAAATAATCGTAGAAATAATTTAAAAAAATGATTACAAATTATAATGATAATAATAACAAAAATAAAAATAATAATAATAATAATACAAATTAAGTAATAATAATAACGATAATAATAATAATAATGATAATAATAATAATAATGATAATAATAATAATAATAATAATAATAATAATAATAATAATAATAATAATAATAATAATAATAATAATAATAATAATAATGATAATAATAATAATAATAATAATAATAATAATAATAATAATACTAAATACTACAGGTATAATAATAATTATTATTTAAAATAATATTTGTATTTATAATAACAATAATATTAATAATAATAAATGCAACGATAATATATCGAAACAAATCGATTAACTATCGAAAACTAAAGCAAAAAATAGAAAACAGATGCCAAGTAATCGAAGGCATGGAAACAGAATTCAACGCATAAGGAAACGAAAATAACTAAACTTGAAATATATCGCAACTGTAAAAGAAACGATATATATCGATATATCGAGCAAAGAACGATAACGCAAGAATACAAAGAAAAGGATGACTTTTAATAAGGGAACTCATAAAACAAGTTTAAGTCACATGAAACCAAGCTGTGGAATCTTCTAAAACCTAAACAGATACGCCCCTTATTAATGGCGGTTTCTCTCTCTCTCTCTCTCTCTCCCTCTCTCTCTGTGTGTCTGCTCGTTTTATCGGATATTCTGTATAAATTGAGCTGAATTTTAATGCAAATTTTGTCGCAAAGTCCCAAAAATGTTTGCCAGCAAAAAGTTGTTTAATTAAATTGCATTCATTCTGCGCATCAACTAAAAACTGAACCGCAGCTTGAAATATGCACAAACTTTTATGCTGACTACCTGTTATTCGGGCAAAGTTTTCACCTCAATAATCTGATTGCGTGCCATGGCAAAGAAATGTGACAGCAAAAACATATAAAAATTAACAGGGAACTATTCGTAAATACACTGTAATTGAATAGAAAGGGAATGCATATTGCATGCTTGGGATTGCAACGATTTTTATGGATACATTTACTGGAGTATTGAAGCATTGAACAATCCACATACAAATAAGTCTAAATACACGAAATGGGGAAAATGTCGATATTGATTTTCAAGACGTGAAATGTGTAACGCATAAAAGGAAACATCTCCGAGCCCCAAAAGTATATATATATTCTAGATCAGCATCAACAGCCGAGTGTCGACTGTCTGTCTCTCTCTGTCTCTCTCTCTCTCTCTCTCTCTCTCTCTCTCTCTTTCTGTCTGTCTCTCTCTCTCTCTCTCTTTCTGTCTGTCTGTCCTCCCATCAGTAGGCAGTACACATGTTGGAACCAGACCGAATCGGACCACTATATCATATAAGTTCTTGTATTGAAAAGTAGGTTCTAGTATGAAAAGCATCTCTGTTATCAAGATATTAAAGATGCAAAATCTTATCAACATCAGACTACTATGTCATAGGATGGATCGACCGAAAAGATGGTTCTTGTATGGTAAACTATTCTCTTTTCCGGAATATGTTCATCAAACTCAGCATTTTCGAGCTTCACTACGCTCACATACATATCTGCAAAACCGTAAGCTAAATGTCCACAAGGGCATTTAATCTTCGGCGTGCTAAAGATATGCCTATTTTCTCGTTTATCTTTAGCTTGAAAGCGACTGAAGTTGCCCAGTATTTAGATCTGAAGTTTCTCAACAATCACTAAACTTTCAAAATGTAATTTCTGGCTTGATTTCGTGTCAAAGTTTCTAACTCTGGCTTTAATAGTTCCCGAGTAATATCAAAGTGATAACTAAATCAAATTTTGCTGCTATTTCGGCATATGAGGGCTGTGTGGCAATGACCTTTAACCTTTTCCAGCTGTTACATATGTACAAGCTATTGCATAGACAGCTTAATTATGAACTTTCCACGCAATTTCGGAAAACTATTCAAGTCTGCCTGGTCGACCCTCTTTTCGGCCGTGCCCGGCCGAACAAAGGGGACACCGTTTTTGGTTAGCTGAGAGCCGAACGAGAGCCTGCCTAGGTTCGGGCCAAAGGTTCATTTGCCGCTCTTGTGCGCTAAAATTTCAGCATGAAAATGTGGTTTGCGTGTTTTAACAGACAACTCGAAGCATAGAAAGTTGGCACTTACCGGGCACTTCTATTTGATCTGGATCTTCATCGTCATCAAAATCAGAGCCGGAATCATCATCATCAAAATCGTCGTTCTCATCGGCGTCCAAAAGGGTTTTACGCTTCTTTGAAGTCTGCAAATGGCATAAACAAGACAAAGGGAAATCAATAAAATTGCCAAGAATTATTCAAAACTGTGAAACTGTCTCCCGAATGGATTTCAGTGTAACATATTTCCAGGTGCACATTGAAGGTTTACATTGAAGCATGTAAACTGTACTATTTTTTAGAGTTTCGAGCTCAAATTGGGACTTTAAAAGGGCGCTGTTCGTGAAGAGAATATATATATATATATATAAATATACATATATATCAAACGAACTCGCATTTTTGTGCAGTGTACGGCAGACAGCACGCTAAAGAAAACAAATGAACGGCTGCACATTTCCGGGGAATCACCAAATAAAAAACAAAACGGAATGAGGCACATCAAAAAAATGTAGCACATTTTTAAGCGTCGCACACGCACACGCACACAGATAGAGAGAGAGAGAGAGAGAGAGAGAGAGCGAGAAAGTAAACGCACGACTTTCGCACAGTTGTTTAGAAAAAACAGCACAAAAAGCACGAGCCGAGAAAAAAAAGCCACACACACACAGAGAGAGAGAAAAAAAGACGCGAAGCAGCGGAGGCAAGAAAAAAAAAAAACAGAGAATAAGGAGAGAAAAAAACTCACAATTTCGACAGTCTGGCAACATCTGGAGCACGTTGGGTCAGGCAAAGGTCAGTTTCAGATGCTCGCCACTTAACACTTGCCACGGCTTCAACTGCTGCTGCTGCTTTTACTGCTGCTTTTACTGCTGCTGCAATTTGCGACTGTTCCTGCGCTCGTGTTGGAGGCAACTACGCGCTGTGCCGACTCCAGTGTCTCTCTCTGCCCCGGCAACTAGCGAAATTTTCAGGCCAAAACAAGCTTGCAGTTTTTCGGCGCTTCCACACAGTCCACGAACCAACCAACCACCCACTTACCCACCAGTTCTGCCCATATCAACGCTCTAACCCCAATCAACAGACGTCCCCTAGCCCCTTCACCCCTCCCTCGACGCTAACCAGCTAGTCTCTGCAGTGGCAAACACCCCTTGAACGGTGCGATTTGGGGGGCTCGGGTGGTTGGCCCAACTTTGAAGCGGTCAGGAGCGGGCAGGCAACCACCATTCGGTATCAACAACGTTCAACTGGCACCAGCTGCACAGTGGTTCAAGCATCGCTCGAAATTGATTTGAAAAAATTGCATCAAAATGTTTACAATTCAATTTGAATGCATTTAAACGATAAATATTTAGCTTTAAGCAGGCAGAGCTATACGAAAAGGGAAAAGGTATTTCGGATCTGTATTATAGAGCAGCACATAGACGATAGTCCACATACCAAATATGTTGGCTGTAGGTCTTATGAGCTGCGAGATATGCTCAAAAAACAGAATATCGATAACGGTTCTTATCGATCTCATGGCAATGCAGAAAGTTAACGTTGACTTCAGGCGATGATCTTCTAACTAAAGCACACAATATATAAGAGGTAAAGTTACACAACTATCGATATATCCATTATATCATTATATCGTATATCGATACACCTACACATACAAGAGTTGCAGCTACGAAACTATCGATAAACGATATTCTGGGTATATACGATATATTGCACAATTGCACCAATTGACCCTTTTTATTGCTTTACGAGTTTTATGCTACATTTAATAATATTTCTAGAGCACTTTACCCTAATTGGCAACAAGCGAATGTTTCATATATTGTGATAACTCATTATATCATATCGTATATCGATTCACCTATACATACAGCTTCACAACTATCGATAGACGATATTCTGGTTGCACAGGTGCCACTGTGCCGCACAGTTTGTGTAAAGGGTTGAATGTGGAATTTGCTCCCCCTAGCACACGCGCACACACACGCACACACACACTTACACACACAAAGGGCAGCAGTCAAGCACGCAGTGGAAATGTTTGGCATGCAGAGATACCGAACACTACGAACTATGAACAACGAGCTGAACTGAAACTACGTAGCATGTGCAATGGGCCAACCCCCAACAAACACACGCACACACACACGCACACCCATACAGACCCCCGCTACTACTGCGCACCCCTGTGTCGTTGAAACAAAAGGATTGCCAGGCGGCCTACTGATTGAAATGGAGGGGTGGACGCTCGTGCCCAGACCGAGACCGAGACCAAGACCGAGACCAAGACCAAGACCGAGACCGAAAACGAGGCCGAGGCATAGGCAGCGGCAGCGGCAGCGGCAGAGGCAGAGGTTGTGCTAGTGCCAAAGGATACAGAGGACAACGCATGTACAGCGGCAATTAGAGCAAGATAGCAAACAGCACCGTCGACTGGGTGCGACTGGGCTGCCAGGTTGGCGCCGAGCACAACTTGGCTGAAAGTTTGCCGCTGCCTCTGTGGATGGAGATAAATCAATGAGTCGGGCACTTGGAAACTTGGGAAATTGCAGAAACAGAAATAGGCACAGCACAGCACAGCGAGCAGAGCAGAGCACAGCGGGCAGCCCCCCACCCAACCGACCACCCTTGACAACTACAGTAAAGTCTCGGTCGCAGCGACGCCTTTCAGGTGAGGCAGTTATTTGTGGCAAATGTTTCTGAGAATGATTGATTGTACTTTGAATAGAAAGAACAAATTTTGTGGTACACAGTATATACATATATAGTAATATACTTAACATATTTTATTTAACATATATATTTTAAGCTTATCGGGTAAAAGTTTCACAACTGTTTTCCAAGAATTTAACATAGTTGCGGGCGGAGTTTTTCATCATTTTTGACAAATTTCCGCTCCATGGCTCTTAGGCGCGTTGATCATCAGTCAGTCAGTCAGTCAGTCAGTCAGTCAATCAGTCAATCAGTTAGAGCTAACAGTTGTTTATACACATAGATATACCCTATTTGCATTTTAAATTGTCCCGTGCAATCTCTCTTACATTCTACATTTAAAAGTTTTAACAAACCGAACATAATTTGTTTATTTAGACAAAAACGAATGTCTTCCTAATTATTGATGACATCAAATTATGAAAATTAAGTGCTAAAAGCCTAATTAGAATACACAAGTTTCTAATAGCATCACCGAGATGATGGAAAGTCGTAGCGCCTGTTGTTCTCGCAGTTAGACATCGATTTTGAATCGAAAAGATATCTTTTTATAGTTCAATTTGTTTTATCAATATCTTCTGATCTCTCTCAAGCAAAAGACTGTGCTTTATGGGCATAGTTACAATGTTTTGTGGCTAATTGGGTATTTACAATGAAGGCGAAGGAGGACATAATACGTAATACTGTCAGGTATTTAAATGATATCTATATGCATAACGCGATAATCAGCGATCGCATAAATTATATATTACTTAATTATATACTCCTGTTTAGCACAACTTGCTGTATCTACGTATATCCCGTAGTCTACCGATTCGTAGCCCCATGTCATATACCACCTATTAGTTGTCACGATCTTAGGTGTTTTTTATTATCTTTTTAGCTTTCTAACTGTCGCTTTTTCACGCGTGATCATCGCGCTTATCAGCGCATCTATCAACGAGCAGCAACAACAACAAACTAAAGCATGTTATCTATCAATAAGTAGCGCAATATCAACGGGCATTACGACTGTTCACACACGCTTGCAGCTTAAGGTCAGGCTTTCGTTTTAGAAGTTGAACTTTACATAGGAGAGCTTAGAAGAAAAGAACGGGAGGATATCACGCCGAACACAGCCATTCAATCTTTCTAGCTCTCTTCTATGAATGCACAAAGCAGAAGGATTTTCACCAAATTTGTGGAAAATGTGCTTAGATATCCCACAATTTAAATGTTTATGCTCTAAGCACACCAAACAATGCATAACAAAACCAAGTCGCAAGCTCGATTTTGATCGATTTTGATTAAACGGCAGCTGATATCGAAAAGAGATGATATTCTATTTCTGCTTACGATATAGGGGAATGTAACGAATATTTCGAATTTCCTTGCCTAGCTCTTGTAGTTTCTGAAATTGTCCATATATACATATACTTTATACACACGCCTTAGACCCTTTTATCCCAGGCTATAAAATGCAAGCGAATTCAAAAATATTCTGTTATCAAAAAATGCTGTTGCCTGCCCAAATACAATAAATTGCATTCTTTTTTTTTTACCGCTTTTGTGACACAGAAAATAAAAGCAAAGCGAATGACCTTGCAAAAAGAAAACAAAGCTCAAATATTCGCACACACGTGTGTGCGTGTGTGTGTGTGTGTGAGTTTGTCTGAAAAGGAAATACATCAACACGTTGCCAAAAATGGGTGAAGAACAAACAACAAACAACACAAACAAAATAAAAAAAGAACAAGAAGAATAATATAGAGAAAAGATGAGGCAGAGCGAGAGTCGCTTTTAAGGGTTGCAAAATCGCAACAGAAGCGAAAATAAATATAAAAACAAAAAATGCCGGATAAAAAGGCAACAAAAGCAAACCAAATCGAACACAAAACACAAGTGTACAGTGTGTACATATCTAGGCAGACAACAGTGCAACAGTGGGACCAGTGTGTGCAAAAGAATTAGGTGAACAAATAAAATTACGTATTTTCATTACGTATTTTTTGCATTACATGTTTAAAGAATGTTTCCACCCATTTTTCACTCAGAGAAAAGGAGTTATGGATATCGATTGAACACTTATAAATTGGGTCTCTCTTTCGTCTAATGTATAAAAACTGATTAGACAATAATTAAATTATAGTTCAAACAAGCTTGCAGCCACATTTTCCACTTCAAAGTTCTGAATATTCCCAATATTCCCAATATTCCAGCCTTTTAAAGCTCAGTATAATGCATTCAAACAAGTTTGTAGCTTATCGGAAGCAAAAAATATATGAAAAAAATTGTAAACAGCCGTTTTCCACGCATTTTTCGGTTACGAATTCGCTGCAATCGCTGTATTCAGCGAAACGGGTTTAAAGACAAGAGTTTTTCACGGTGAATGAAAATTTCCAAAGTTCCAACTAGAAGCCTTGCTTACAACGCAATAGTTAAAATCCAGCTAGCTCTCTCTATATATATACATACATATATGTATGTATAACTGACTGATTGGTGATCAATGCAATTATATACAGTATACATAAATAAATGGAGAGTTGCAGAGAGAGAGAGAGAGAGAGAAGATATATATGCATATAACTTGTATGCATGCACTAACACAGACTTCAAGCAGGTGGCAGGTGGGCAGATGTGTGTTTTGTGCCTGGACGGACGGTCTGGGCAAAGGGGAGGAGGTGCGTTTGCCCCAGATGCTGACGCATGCGCCACAGGCCGCTGCAAATGCAGCGAATAGAGCAAAATGCAGATGGTAATAAATAAGCTGCGACAGCTGGGGAAATTTTATGTAAAATCGGGACGCTGCAGCAGCGCGTTGCACGTGGGAGTGGCATCAACTGCTGTTGCTGCACACCTTGCACTTTCCACCTTGCACCGCACCGTCCAGGCCTATGTTCAAATTGTTGCACATACAGTGCACACAGGCCAAGGACGAACAGCGAAAGAGAGAGCTCTGCTGCTTGTGGTTTGTGTCTTTGCTAATTGGCCAACAAGATTTGTGCTTGTATTAAGATGAAATGCGTATTGTTCAGCTTTTGGATTTTTGTTCTATATTGGCACGGTCACACTTGGACTGACGAGGCGGAAAACGTGCTTTTCGAAAACTTTGTTTGTCGTTTGCAACGTGAAAGAGAGTATATTGACTCGTTGCGAATACCCATCTAGATCTAATAAGCTTCTAGTTATGTGTTTTTGAATCAGCTTAGAGAGATTTTCATCGGAAATTAATATACCCGGTTCTAAGTGAAGTTTTCGGATTTGCGAAAAATTATATTTTTTTCAGTATTTATGAATGTATGGATGTATATGATACATTTAAAAATGTTTACATGCAAATTTAATGGGTTTTAAATAGAAAACAATTAACTAATTTTGTAGCGCCGAAGTTTGAATACCCTCCCAAGCTTAACCCCACAACCCAGCTGATCAAAACTATATATGTAAGTAGATGCATGCTTTGCGGAAAGTCCATAATATCCTTTATAAGGCTATAAAATCAAATATTCCTAATCTTAAAGAATAAACGATGAAATTCGCTCAACAATCTGGAACATTCTAATCTGTAAATGCTCACACTTTACTGAAAGTCTTCCAGTTTTAAGTGTTTACTTTAACCAGACAATCCGAGGTAGTCCAAGTTTGTGCATACCCTAGGCTTACCATCTTGAAAAGGGTACAAGAAAATGAAACTAAAAGTAAATATTACAAGTGACTGGTCAACATAATGGCGCTAGTTGCGGGGGCTAACTGCGGCAAGAGGGCGCATGGGCTTAACCCTAACCTAGCACAAGCAACGGTTAACGGTTTTCGCCCATAATCTTATGATGAAATGAAAGCCAAAGCGTTGCGGGTGTGAGGAGGAAGACAAACACAAACAAATCAAATAATATAGAAAGAACGAAGAAATGGAAACATGTAAACAAAACAATGCAAATTAATTGTGTCGCTTCATGCACTCTTCTTCCTACCCCCCCGGCTCACTGCTGCTCTCTTCCACACACGAGTTCGCAATTGTCACATTGAAATGTTTTTGTTTTTGCCTTTGCGAATTTGGTTTTTTTTTTATGGCCCCACCATGTGGCTGGGCACGTAGCTAGCAAGTGCGAGCGAGATGGCTAGCGTGTGCACTCTCAGCTGCTGCTGCTGCTGCTGCGTCGGCGGCGCGGACAGTGGCCATTGAATTTTGGCCATCAAATGTTGCGCTTTGACGACATCAACAAAGGAAATGCATAAGTCATGATATGTTCAATAAGAAACAACAAACAAAAAATAAATAAAAAGATTGCATTAACTGTGAACTTACCATTTTGTTGCTGTTATTCGTATCGCAATTTGTTGTTGCTGCTGTTGTTGTTGTTGTTGTTATGATTATTTGCTGTTAACTTCAGCGCGGCCAGGCCGGAAGAGGAAAAGCGAAGAACGCGCGCGTTTAGAGAACAGGCGACGGCAACGGCGACGACAAAGCGAATGACGACGCGCTGACGGACAGGCGGTCGGTCAGCAGCAGCGGCAGAGCGTGCGAGAGAGAGAGAGCCGAGTCGCAACGGCAATTGAACAATTGTTCGCCTACTGCTGCTGCTTCTCCTCCTTCTTCTTCTTCAGCTTCAGCCTCTTGGAGCAGCGAGCACGACTGAGCTCTGGCTCTGCCTTTGGCTCCGCGCTTCGTTTACGGCTGCGGCTCAACACGCTTTTTTTTACTCTTTTTTTGCTTCTCTGCCTTTGGTCTATTTCTTTTGTTTGTTTAAAGTTTTCTGCACATACATTGCCGTAGAACGCTGCAAATACGACTGCAGTTTGCTTGTTGGGGGCTTGTTAAGATTGCGTTATTTTTTATTATTGTCAGGCTGCGCTCAACTGCAGTCACGCACACGCACAATAACAACAACATAAAAAAAAAGAGAGGAAGGAAACAATAAAAAAAAGTTAACAAGCCGAAAACACACGTAACATACGTTCGCAGCGCACGTCGCACGCTAATAAAATATAACTTATCGATATATTTTCAAGTGACGAAAATACTAATTCGGTATTTGCGAAAATCCGTCAAAAATCCTTAGTATTTTTTGATAATTATAAATTATTTTATTGGACGAGACTGGACCTCTATAGTTGAGCTACTAAATATTACCCTTTTTTTACATACACACAAAATTTGAGTTTTCTTTAAAAAAAAAAAATAAAATACTGAATCACACATATATCGATATGGTTAGACCGCGTACCTATAGTATTATGGCTGCCAGATAGTCAAAAAATTCTATAAGTTTATGCACCAAAGTTAAAGATTTCTAAAACTACTTAATTTTACACGCATTTCGGTATATTTTGGTACAGAATCACTTGTCTTGCCTACCCAAATCTAGCCTATTTAAATTAGCGAGTGCTTAACAGTTCGATAATTTTTAACATAGTATGTTAAATTACTGTCGTGTTCTTAGAGATGCGCAAAACTCGTATCGATTATTTTTTCGCAGCACTAGCGTTTTGTTGTTGCGGTCGCGTTGACAGTGCGGCGGTTTATATTTATTAGCTATTACTCAGAATAAAAAAACAGTCATTGTTTTTCGGGCTTAATCGGCAAAATGTGCGCGCCAAGCACTTACACAGCAGCAACGTCCGTTCAATGAGCTACAGTACGGAAAAAAACACTCGCACAAAATAAAAAAAATCAATTTGCAATATTCGTGCCGCCGCTCAGCCCGCCACCGCCACCGTTGCGCCCCTTCATAAACACGCAGAGCAAAAGAAAAATCTACAAATAAAGCGATTACTCGTTGGTGTCTCCTGGTAAAGACGAAAATCGATCGATATCTGTTACAACTAATTGTAGTCAGTGGTGAATTGTTTTGTTGTGTTTTTTTTTGTTGTTTTGTTTTCTGGTAGTGTTTTAACAAAGTTCGTTTCGGTTTTGGCAGTGGGGGAAGACGAGGAGTCGCGCAGACTATAAATCGCTTGCTCGTCGCCGGGTGTGAGGTGTGAGACGAAAAGAGAGCAGCAAAAAAAATAGCAAGGCATATTTAAAATACCGAAAAATATACATACATATGTACATGTACACATACACGTGCAATTTAATATATGTGTGCATTGAATTCAATAAAAATCGCAAATATTAATGAAATTTGTTGTTGCTGCTGCAGCACGCCAAGGAAACATTGAATCTTTTGTGTATAAAAATAAACCAAACAAATCGGCGCCGACGTTGCCACAGCTAGCAACAAGAGAACAGGCAGCGAATTAGCAAAGAGAGCGAGAGCGAGCATCCGCCCAGAGTTCCCCGTTCCCACAGACCCGCGCACCCATAACGCAAACGCCTCTGCTCATCGGGCGTCATCGATATTCGTGTTGGGTTTGTTTACGCGCGGAGCGTGCAGACGAACACACCCTGTGTGCACTTCAACAAGGAGAGGTCAGTCAGCGCCCGACCCCCCTCCCGCGCTGTTAAACATTGCGTGAGTGCATGTCGGTTGGCGCCTTATCGTCCAACACACAGTAACGCCTATTGGCCGCGGACCGCTCCTGCGACGAAAAGACAAACAACACGCCATTGCCATTGTCATTGCCAGTTCCTCTTCCTTGCTTAGTAGGAAGCAGCCATTAGCGTTTTATGTGACCAACAGCATGGTAAGTAAAACAGAGACAGAGAGAAAGAGAGAGAGAGAGAGTGTGTATGTCAAAGAATCAGCGAAAGCTTTCTAACGGATCTGCACCTGCAGCTGCGTGTGTATTAGAATTAGCAATTTTTCCCGTTTGTCTATGACCATCATTCGCATAACACAAGGCCGCCGACGATGCCGGCCCATAATACATGTGCACCAGTCTGTGTGTGTGTGTGTGTGTGTGTGCGTGGACGTGGGTTGTGCCCTAGTGATGTGATTTTATATTAATTGAATATTAGTGTGAGCATATTAAATGATGGAATAAATATGTATGTATATGCATACATATATACACATTTACATGCATGCGTAGAATAAGGTGTGACCCTGCGAGTTTTTGGGGTTGTTTTTGCATTGGAGTCGTTTATGTTTATGTATGCGTTTGCAAGTAATCTCCTTCTCAATTAGCCTCCAGTGTGCCCCTATTTTGAGATTTTCATAACAGAAAAATTCAATTGGATGCAACAATGCAATTTACAGTTAACGGAAGGCGCGATTTGTTTTAAATTCTAATGCATTGGCAACCATTTTTATAAGCTTAAAAAAAACTAGGTAATAAAAGGAAAATTATAAAAACAAAATCAAAAATACAATAATTATATAACATACAAACAATTAAGAATTCTCTAGTTGAGAGTGTCCGACTAGAAGCTACCCTGAACCACAAATATTTTTATCTTTTTTCCAAACATCCACAAAAAAACACAAACAAACACATGCCTCTTCTTTCCTTAATCCAAAACTGTCTAAAATGTTTTAGTGTTTGGCTTGTGTTTATTATCCGATCTTTATGAATTTATTAGAGCATAAATATGGCATTCAGTTGTGTGGAGATAAAAAAGGCTAAACCTCCAAAAATGAAAAAAAAAATTTTTTAATTTATAGGGAAATTGTGAGGTATCCAAATAAAAATGCTATACGCGCATCTACATGCCAAATTTTCCGGTTTTAACACATATAAGCTCCGAGATATGGCTGAAAAACTGGATGTTAATATCGATTATTATCGATTTAAAGGATACGGGGCAAGCTTTCGATAATTGGAAATAAACTCGGTCTTTTCGTACACCTGAAGGGCCTACATTGAATACTTTAAGACTCTAGCTTTACTCGCATTATGAAATTAATATACATTAAGCAGAAAAGGCCAATATATAAAGTAATTATTTGGCTGCGTACTCTAGAAAAATCCGGATTTAATGGAAAATAAACGCAATCACTAAATTGGGCAATAACTAACGATTTTAGGGGCATCGATGCTCTATTTTTTTTTTCTTGTTAATCGATTATTGCGACGGACACACGCACTCAAACCGTTTGCTGAGTTAGTGTGTGTGTGTGAGTTTGTTGTGTGTGTGTGTGCGTTGTTGTTGTTTATATTACAAATGTTACTTAGGCTTTATTTGTAGTTATAATTAACGTACCTTGATTGTATACGCGCTGACGCTTATCTAGCTATATGCACACACACAGACATACATATATACATATAATGGGCAGTGGGAGTGTGCGCGTGTGTGTGTTTGCACAACCTACTGCGATAACGGGGGGCGGCCTCCTGTACTCGCTAAATGTACCCGCAGCGCACCGGCAGCGCGTGACAAAGCCAACGACGACAACAACAACAATAGCAGCAGCAGCAGCAGCTTATGTGTGTGTGTGGGGGGGGGGGGGGTAGCGGGTAATGGTGGACACCTGTTAGTCGCCCAGAAAGGAATGTTCAATAACGCAACTAGAGCCCTCAATTGTCTCTCTTCTTTATTAGTCATAAGTGCATAAATATTAAGAAAAAAACACAGGCACGCACACACACACACACACACCCAGGTATACAGTGAAAGCTCTATTAACGAACAAGCTCCAAATCTAAATAATAAACAAACGCCCCTATATTTGTTAGTGTACAAATTAAACCTAATTGCACGAATTCAAAATTGGTCAATTTTTTCATTAATTTAATCGGTCATAATACAAATATGTAAAAGTTTTGCAGGAGTGTAAAATAATTCATTTGTTTTTATTATAATTTTTATTTTTTTTTATCAACTATCCAAGCAGAACATTGGAGTTTTTACTGTATATGCATGTTTATTTGTATTTGTATGTGCCGGCATTTAATGCACAATTGAATCAAAACGGGCCAACACACAACTTTATAATCAACGTAGCGGCCGTTGTTGTACTTTGATAACGTATTTAATTTATTATTATGACTGCGGCTCACCCATACATGTGCGTCTGTCTGTACACACATATACAATAAACCCGCAGCCTGCTTCACGCACACACACATACAGAGAGTCACAGACGCACAGGCACTCAGCTAAACGCTGGCTCACTCTCTCTCACTCCCTCTCGTTTGGCAGTAGCCACTCGCCATTTTGTGCGGCTCTCTCTTCGCCACCGCCTCAGTGTAACGGCTGCCTTCGAAGTTCAAGCTTCGAAGCTCCCACAAAAAAAAAAAACACAAACTTCAACGAACGAACTTACAAATCTGAACGAAACGCGCGAAAATTGAACGAAGCAACAACAACAAACCACACGCAATGAATTGTTAAACAATAACAACAACAAAATCAAATACAAAAGGCAAAAAGTGCACGGGTGGGTAACCGAAAGAAACATCAAACTCGTAACTCGAAAAAAAGACAGTCAAGTACATACTAGTCATACAAAAATAAGTACATTTGAAAAATCTCGCACATGAGTACAAATATAAGAGGGCGGCAGTCGCGGGGTCGTCGATATTGGCCGTCAAGTACAGCACATAACAATTATTTAGGTACAAACATGTGCACCGAACATGGACTCAAGTCTCTCGGTTTTCGATTTCGATTTCGGACTTTGTGTTCTTATTAGAGTTTAGCACGTGCCATGTTCTGATTTAACGCTTCTGACACGATCACGCACGAGCTAACACGATATTGAAAATATGTCCTGCAAGGAAAATGTAAAACGTTTAAAATTATATTAAAATTTCAAAAGTAACAGAAGTTAATTATTAGAGTTAATTGAGCTCAAATAAAGTCAAGACATCTTAAATCTAGCAAAAAGATTATGATATTGTTTAAAATTCAATTGTTATCTAAATTTTTTTGGATTTGTTTTTTTTTGTTATGGTTTTTTTTTTATCCTTGTGAATAATAACAGTTAACATATATGAAAATTGCTGTTGAATTTGAACCAGCGACATATTACCTGCATGACGTCACGTTAGCAAAGTCATTTTTATATATAATGATAATCGTGTCGTGTTACGATATTGTGTGTCGCGTCGTGTTGAACAAATCGAAACACGAGTCCATCCCTAGTTCTTACCTGCGCATGTACCAAACGCATTTAGAAAATATATGAGTATATATATATATACATATATATATATATATATATATATTAGCTTTACGATCGTTGGGTTTATGGGCCGCTTGTTGTTTAATTGCTCGCCCTGTAAATTACAGGTATTCAGTTTTTATTGTGCCTCCGGGGAATGCCAGTTTTAATTGCGCTTATGCAATATCTATATACTATATATGTACAAAGCTTGTTGTTTACATCTAACAAATAGTTATCTGGACTGCATACAAATTTTCCTTCTATTTTTTTAATACAATTTTGCATTTTTTTTTCGTGCGAAAGTACTTTTCATTTGAGAACAACAATGGACAAAAATCACAAAAAACAAAAACAAAAAAAAACAGTTAAAACAATGAGTGCATCAATGGTCTGTGCTCAGTGAAGCGTCTCGTTGTGTATACCCTGCAATTGAAGAGCTTATACAGGGTATATACATTTGGCATAACCCATTTAACAAACACTTTGAACCGATGCCTTGTACTTTAGTCAAATGATAAATAAGCTCAAAGTTTTCTTTTGAAAAAGAGTATCTGGAACTTTTCTTTAAATGATTGCAATAGTTGTTTAATAAAGAAACTATTGAGAGCTCAGAATTGAAGAGAAGAGTCTTTAATTTAATAATCTTATCTTATTAAAACTTATCTTCTAGAAAACCTATTAGATAATTGAATTTAGTTTTCAGCAGCTTTTGCTCTTACACTTTCAGAAATGTTGTGAAAGATTCAAAGTTTGCAATTCTTCAGTATTTTTCTTATATGCAATCAGATCTAATATTTCACACATTGCTTCAGAAAAACAGATTAAAACGATTTTTACCCTCACTCTATTCTAGCAAGAATGACAAAAGAATCGATTGATAAAGGAATCTTAATATTTGCGAATCTTAATATTTAATTAAATAATCTTTTTAAATTAATTTTTTCTAAAGAGTATATGCCGTGGAGTATCTAGTACAGTTGGGTATTCCAAGAGCTATTCTAAAACATGTTCAACTTATTATATTACTCACGAAATAGTTGGTTAAAGAATTAGTTAGAATAGTGTGTAAATATATATTTAAGAGCTGTGCGCAATGTGTGCTAATGATTCACGCATTGATGAAACGCCTCCCTTCGAATGCTGATGAAAGCATCCACATATATTTGTGAAAAAAAAAAACAAAGAAAGTAGACCTTTAGATTGTTATACAATAGCAGCGGGTACAACAAGCACTTCAACAATTCAGGTAACAATATAATTAATGATTAGTTTCAGCACTCGAATCGCTCAGCTGGAAAAGTTGAATGGATAACGAAGAGTACACAAAAAGCAGCGAAAATGAAACAACAGCAACAACTTTTCAAATCACAAGCCATAAAAACTTTATAACTTTTCTGCGATAACGGCAAATTTCGCGCACAAGGTCACACTTAATCGGCATTTCGTTTCGAATTCTCAAGTGGTTCAAGCACGCGCGTCATCAACTAAACGGTTATGCATTGCTCATGTGCAGGGTATGCGGCAAGTCGAGCTAGCGCAATCGTGCACTTGTTGCTACTCATTTAGTTGTTGTTTAATGCACAAATGCCAAGTCGCTTGTTGGAATTATTTCTGGTTCGCACTTTGAATGGG